ATGTACTAACTCTGATTACCCAATAAATTTTATAATAAATTGCATTAATATTTATATTAATATAATCGAAATTAAACAATGAAAGTTCGTCTAAAGGAAGTTGGACTGTAATTCCTCCTCAATGGGTGGCAGGTGGCAACACTGGCAGGGCCTACGTTAAGTTGCTTGTTGTTCTCGTTTCTAACTGAGAATTTAGGTTATCCCCTTCGCCCCCTCGCCTTCCCCCTTTACCATAACAGCTCGGCTATTAAATAATAAAAAGTAATACAAAAAGTTTGTTTTACGTTACATTCGCTGTCTCCATCCAAAATGTGTGGAAATGTGGAATATATATATAGACGTGAATGAGTAAGTTTGTTGGTTGGCTAGCAACAAAATTACTTTAGTTTAGGTTGGTTAGTTGCTTTCCGTTTTCTTTTATTATGTACTGCCAGTGGCGTGTAAAATAAATGTTGTAACATGATTTCTGTTTTGCTTTTTTTCTTACTTTTTGTTGGAAAAACATGGTGGAGAAGAGGTTCAATCATCGCCAGTTATTGCTTAACCTACTTCAACTGAAGCGGGTCAGCAAACATTTATAATTCTTCGCTTTAATAGCTCAATTTCCCGTGTTAATCCGCGCTCTCGAATTAATACTTTTCATTATATAAAAAAAATATAATTTATTATTTAAGTCCATGATCTTATTCTTCTCATTTCTTATTCTTTTACATTATTCCCCCGAGGTCAACTAATGAATCCCCGATAAACTGCACCCTAAAGTCGCCTGTCTCGAAGGCATCGTGATGGGCGACGAGCAAACAAGTGCTTTGTGTGAGTAAATATAGCTGGAAGACCCGAAAATGCAGACAGCAAACATTGTGCGTATGTGTATATAGAACTATAAGAACACACAGAAATACAAAAAGAGACAGGAAGACTTGGGACCAAGAACCTAGAAATGTCAATAAGCGAGCACGAGGTTAAGTCGTCACCAACGACAACTTTGGACCCGCATTCAAGGCGAAAAAGGTGCCTTCCGTCGCCCTGACACAAGGAGGCCGATCAACTAAAATGCCTATAAAAAATTTATAAAGTGCGTGAGTTGTGTGCACTTTGTTTCCCGCTTCCTTACACAAACACCGAGGTCATCTATTATGCACCCACAGAAGTATGTATGTGGGTATTATGTATTGAATTGGATTGGATTGGAAACCCATTTCATTCACCCCCTTCTCATGGCTCTTCTTCTTAATTTGGCTGGCGTGCCAGAGGCGAGAAGAAGCAGACGCCATAAACCAAAAGCAGCAGAAACACTTGCGAAAATAAAATAAAATCAAACACACAAGTTTAAATAGAAACATCTCTTTGCTAAAAATACAATCTTTGGCAAAAAAAAAAAAAGACGAAACTCAACTGATGGTTGAACTTTTGGCAATGTACAGTATTCGCTAGGAAATTAATATAAATCTACTTATTCTGTTGATTATGTTGTTAAAATTGTATGAACTACGATCACTGATAATAAACGTTAAGTAATGAATCTATTACTTATGGGTAAAAGCGACTAATTTTAGTTTTAAAATCAGCAAACTTTCATCCTTCGTGATAATCATAATCTTATCGCTATCAAAATATCCATCCGTTTCTACGCCTGATAACGGGGAGGTATAATACCGTATAAGGGAAATTTATGGGAAAACCCGACACTTCCGTTGCCTAAAAGTGTGGTTTTTCTAACAATTATCAATGCAAAACTGTAAAAATAGTAGCAAGTTGATAATTTCTGTGTCGCTTGGGGTCGGGAAGTCGTGTTTCAGCTACGATATTGATAAGCAAGACCCCGAATCTGCGGTTTAAGTTTAATGCAAAATTTTGCGGGTTTTATAGTATTTTCAGATTTAAAAAATTGATAAAGAAAAATTGTATGAAAAAGATTAGGTACAAGGGATTATAATCCCTTTTATACATTTTGGATGGAAGTCGGTTTAATTTTAGACAATCATAACTCACCTTGCTTGCCGTTCGCGTCGCTGCATTTCGCCTAGCTAATCTCGCTTGAATTTTGACTCAAGAAGTCGATCGCCTTTCCGTGAATTTTGATAATGAATCTTTATCGGCTGCCGCTGCTGATGTTGTTGCTGTTGAAGTTTTTGTTCTTGCTGTTTGGCGATTGGTTTGATCCAAAGTGCTGGTTCTGTTCGATAAACAAACTAGAGGATCTGAAGGATCTGCAAGATCTGTGGGATGCGTGCGAATTGAGCGAATTATCCTCACCGCCCACACTCACACGCACGCACTATCACACGCGCACACTCACTCACACTCAGCGTCCGCGCATTTCGCGCACGGGAGATCCGCCGCTCTCTTCCGCTCTTTCTCCCACTGGGCGACGACGACAGGTGTGTGTAATGAGCTTGTCTCTCCGCTCTCTCTTCGCTAGCTTACAGTTAATCCTGTTGTTCCTTTGCCTTCTCTAACTGCTGTTGTTGTTGCTGTTGCTGTGGGGTCGTCGTTGTTGTTTGACATTAAGTATGAAATTTGAGCAGCATCTCCTTGAATATTCAGCTTTTGTAGCTGAATTTTTTTGATGTTTTAATTTTTTATTTTATATATTTTTGTGTTGGTGTATGTGTGTGCTGTAGTGTAGTTATGTGTACATATGTCAAAAGGCGGGCTATTTGTCGTAGAATTATTTGATTCCTATTTTGCTAATCCGTTGCCGCAGAACGATTGATCGATTTCCGGCTTTAATTTCGGGTTCAGTTCTATAAGTTCCGGTGCAAATTAGCCAGGTGTGTGTGTTGTTGTTGTTAGTAAAAGTAAAGGAATACAGTCTCGTGCTACGCTGAATAACTAGGTAAACAAATAATTTTGGCTAAACAATTTGACAAACACACTTTTGCACATTTTCTCCAACAATGTTGTGTGACAACAAATCTGAAACTCCGAATTTTATTCATTCAGTTTGTTGCTATGTTTTTTTTCCTCCCAGCCTCGGCTGACATTTTAGGCAAACGTGCTTTAGCTGCTGCTTAAAGGTGTAGTTAAATTTCAGTTATGGACAATTTAACCGGTCAGTTGCACGCTTAAACACTTAGAGCACAAGGCTTTATTCAGCGCCACAAAAGCATAGCAATCTGTAAGAGAAGGAAAAATCATATAAGACCAGGTGCACAAATGAAGAAATTTGATGAATGTCAAAAGAAATGTTTGTGGGTTCGATTCCTACCGCTGCCTAATAAATCATTCTGCTTGACACGAAAAATTTGTCGGATAGAATTGAAAATATCTGACCCTCAATGACAGGTAAAATATTCAAATTGATCATCACAGCATATAAATTTTTTTCTGTGTGAAAAACAACAAAACCCAATTGAGTGGTATTTTTTGTTAGTATGTTGGCCTGCCCAGCAGCGCAGGTTGGTCACACTAAGACCAGAGCGCAAACTAAATTTTCTTTTCCCATTGATTTTCATTTAATTTTTGAAGTATTGCTATTGACCTCCGACTCTAATCTTTAAACAATTTATTCCTTTGAAGGAAAATTACATTTCTTTTCAAGGAGTCTCAATGAGAATCTGAAAATGTCACAGAATTAGGCCAATTAGTTGCCTTTCCCCCCGCGCCATGTAAAATGTTGGAAAATCTCTGGGGCCGCAAGGTCGAAGTAAATATTTCCGTACGTGATTTCGTTTATTTTTATAAATTATCAAGTTTTGTTATTCGATGCAAAAAAGAGCCAAAGCGGCGATGGCCAAGAAGAGTGACAGAGAGAGAGAGAGAGAGAGAGAGAGAGAGAGAATGAGCGACAGTGGGAGAAAGAGGCAGAGAGGGTGTAACTACTCGACTTTTGGCCATATTTTTTTCAATGGGCCGCCTTTCTGCCAACGCATCATTTTGTTTGGTTTGCTTCGATTTGTAGGCAATTGAACAACTTGTGGGCTTAATTAATTAGCCCAATCGTTACAACCGATTTACCTTTTATACAGTTTTGCACGCATTTTCACTACGCCTCATTTTTTCACCCATACACTGGCACACACGCACGCACGCACAGACACAGTTACACACGTTCGGACCGAATATTAAAATTTGCAACTCGATTTGCAGCTGTGCGCTCGTCGCTTTCTCGTTAACTACTTAATTCACTACTTTTTACATATTTAGCTGGGCTCTTGTTTGTTTGATTTCCAACGAAAATGTCCTCGAAAGACCAGAAAACGCACGCAAGAGAGCACGAGAAAAATGGTGCGATTTTTTCCCTTGCCTGCACACACACACACACTCGAACATGGACTGCGACGGAGTATGACCGCGTTGGCAATGTGGGGAAATACCGCGGGCGAATTAAATACTGATTACCGATCAAACACAAATTAGATAATTAAATTAGCTTTCTTTAGTTCATTTCCCTTTAATTTTCTTAAGTAGATTTAATAAAATTATAACTCTTTTGGAAACTTGCTCGCCTGGGACTAATAGCCTAATTATGAAATAAAAATACCGTAGAAAATACCGTTGTCTGGCGTAGCCAATTAGCCGGCAACTTTGTTTATCTACACTTGAAAACTAGATAAACTCAATTTAGATATATTTTTTAAGCTCTTCACTGTTACTAAACTTTATTTAAAAAGGAACCTATTTAACTGTTTAATTTGTTGCTCGCAGTACAAGAAAATCTTCCATAATGGGTCTGCACACACTTACACTTGGCACTGCTGAAATCAGCATGGAATTCAACCACTCTCTATTATGCAAAATAGTTTCATATGTTTTCTGCTTGTGTATTAACCTTTTTTCAATCTTTTAATTGTAATTACGTTCGATTTTTACAGTTTGTTTTCGCGACTGATTTAGGCCTAAAAAACGCAACTACCTTGGCCTAGGGTGGCCATATTCAAAGTGCGTAAGAAATACCGAATACCAAAATACCGCAATTGCAACACGTGCGAGTTTCGCTCTCTCTCCGAATAATAAATAAATTATACTTTTTAAAGGATTTGTGCGCTGAAAACGATATGTTAAAAAATAAAAGAAAGCCAGGGAAGTTGGTAAGTTGTTGTGGGTTTATAGTAAAATTATTTGGCCTAATCATTTGCCCAATATAGGTGCGGGCACCGAAAAAACTCTTGAAGAAAGCCGATCGAGCGGAGTCCCAGGAAGATTCGCCTGCCGAGGATCACAGCGACGTGGAGCAGTCTGCTCCAAGCACCGATGATGGCTTCGATGAACCCAAGGCCACACCCACCAAGAAGGATCAAACGCCCACTACGAAACCGAAGAGGAACAAGTTCAGGGAGAGGGACGAGGCCAAGAACGTGAAGCCACCCACTTTGGAGGAGATGAAGGAGCTGCGCGACACCCAGAACCTCTTCCACTCCAATCTCTTCAAGCTGCAGGTCAAGGAGATGCTGCAGGAGTTGCAGTTAAAGCAGAAGTACACAGACTTTATAGACAACTGGATGGAATCCTTCACTGCTTTCACCCAACAGCTAAAGGATGGCTTGATGGAGCGAAGCCACCTGGAGGTGCCTCTGCAACTGCCCCAAAAGCCCACCAGCTTTGTTTTCTCCAAACCCACCAGGGAACCTTACCTGATTGGAGCCGCCTCCACTGGCACATTGCTGGGCCCCAAAATTGTGGTGGATGTGGCTCTGGAGATGCCCAAGGAATCGCTGCACAAGGACGATTACCTGAACCTTCGTTACGACCAGAAGCGAGCTCTGTACCTCACCTATGTGACGGAGAGGATGAAGGAGTCTCCGATTTACGCCCAGGATCAGTTTGCCTTCAACTACTTTGCAAACAATCCGCTGAAACCCGTTTTGGAGCTAATCCCTGCGGCCAAGCAGGTCACCAAGCACTTGCAGGTGCGCCTGTTCATCACCGCACCGCTGAGCAGCTTTAAACCTGGCAGATTTGTGCCTTGGAACAACAATATTCGTCCCTCGTTCTACGGCGACGAATGGGACGAGGAGGATCCGCTGCCCTCCACCCAGCACTACAACGCCAACGTTCTGTTTGATCTTACTTTGTCCGAGAATCAGGCCCACCTGGAGAAGGCCTTCAAGGGCAGGCGCAACTTCCAGGACGGCCTGCTGCTCCTCAAAGTCTGGCTGCGTCAACGGGAATTGCACATAGGCTACAGTGGCTTTGGCCCCCACATCCTGGCCGCCTTTATTGTCTACCTGAACTCGCAACGCATCCTGCATCAGTCGAGCAGCAGTTACCAGGTGGCGCGCACCGTCTGGAACCAGCTGGCCAACACGGACTGGACCAAGGGCATTAGTTTGGCTCCTAAAGTCGAAAAGGAAGAACTCAGCAAGTTCTCCTCGCACTATGACGTCTCTTTTATGGACTTTACAGGCCAGCATAATCTTTGCGCAAATGTTCCTCTGTCTTTGTACCAAAGAGTGCGAGAGGAGGCCAAACTGGCGGTGGATCTGCTAAACGACATGAAGTTGAATAGTTTTCCCCTAATCTTTATGCAAAAGTGTCCTTTGTACAGCAGAGTGGACAACATTTTGAAGTGAGTTTGCTGCTAATATTTTTAAATTTCTTTAAAAAACTAACTGTTTTACTTTCTTTTAAGGATTACCAACCACTCTTGTGTTAATCAAATGCTGTTGCTGCATTCCCAGCCTCGTTTCAAGTATGACTACGCTAAATACGGCTACCCGCAGCTGTTTCAATTGTTAACAGAGTGAGTTTACATCAGGGATTCTTTCTCAAACCTTAAGTATATAAATCCTTACTTGTAGACTCCTTCAAAAAGGACTGGCTGAGCGTGTCCATGCCATTCTGCCTCTGGAAACGCCGTGTGCCGCCTGGCCTGTGGAAAACAAGGCTCCTGTGATAGGAAAGCACATTCAACTGGGTCTGATACTCCAACCAGAGCACGCCTACGAGGTGCTAAACAAAGGACCCGCCGCCAACGAGGATCCCGAGGGAGCAGCGGAGTTTCGCCGTTTCTGGGGAGAGAAGTCAAACCTTCGAAGGTTCCAGGATGGCAGCATCACCGAAGCTGTTGTCTGGGGCACCGCACAGGATGCGCCCGCCAAGAAGCGACTAATCGTACAGCAGATTGTCCTGCATCTGCTGGAGCATCACCTGCAGCTGGAGAGCAAGGATGTGCAATATATCGCCGCCGAGTTGGACCAGGTCTACCGGCTGTCTCCCTGGTTCAAGGTGACTAAACTGCAGACCAAGCTTCCTTTGGATCAGGATACAGATGCGGAGGCACTCAGTCCGCATGTCATTCGCTGCTACGATGAATTGTCGAGACAACTGCACGGGCTGAATGATCTGCCGCTGGAGATAGTCTCCATATCGGGCACCTCTCCCGTTTTCCGCTACTGCGAGCCGCAACCGGTGCTTCCTCAAGCGCGACTGGCCGACAACCGCATCCTGGCGAGCCACGTTCAGCGCGTGGTAATTCAGTTGGGCCAAAGCGGCAAGTGGCCCAGCGAACTGACCGCGTTGCGTGCTATAAAAACGGCCTTTCTCATCGAGATTGGCGAAAAGCTGGAGGCACAATGCCGCCTGAAATGGCTGATGACCGCCGATGGTCTGCTGGTGCTGAAGCAGGGCTACTGTTTCCTGATCGAGCTGGCCCACAACAAGGAGCTGGCGTTGCTCAAGCAGGAGGTTACTGAGCGCGGCGTAACCACATACATTGACAATCCAGCCAGTCGTTCCCTGGAGCGGCAGCACTACATTTTGCCCAAAGTGAGCGGTGCTTTGCATTCGCTGCATCAAACGCACTCGGCTTTCGGCGCCACTGTGCTGTTGGCCAAGCGTTGGCTGGCCACCCAGCAGCTGGACGAAGGTCTCTGGCCCGAAATGGCCACCGAGCTGCTGGTGGCGCATCTCTTCCAGCAAAGGTATGCGCCACAGGCCATAGCTGCGCCACAAACCGGGTTCATTCGCTTCCTGCAGCTGCTCGCCCACAGCGATTTCAATGGCGAACTCTTTCTGCTCAACTTTAACAACAGCTGGCAGGGTAAGTTTCTTAGTTACTAGACCTCGGATTTTGCATATTTATCAATTTTTGGTCCGATTTTTACCAAAATTTCTAGGTAGGTGTCATATTTTTCAAATGTAATAAATTCTGATGCATATCGGAAATGTGCAAAATGAACAGCAATTTAAATGAGCAGTTTGGCCGATAGGGCCACAAAACTAAAACTATTCTATTAGATATCTCAGAAATGACGAAAAGTAACAAACAATTTTCTTCGGGTAAATTAGGTTGGCTATGAAATGGTCCATCTTGAAGAGTTGAGTTTATTTCATATTTTGCATATGATTTGCATATTTTATGCATATGCATTTTATGCAAAAAAAAATAAAATATGCCAATAATTTTAAACTATATTTTTTATTGAAACGAACTTTAGTGTTTTCGGAATTGATCTATCTTTATCCTATAAAAATATGCAAAATCCGAGGTCTATTAATTACCTATCCAAGAACATGTTAAAATAACAATTTATCGTTTTTTAGAACAACAAATTGCCGATCTGGAGCACAGCTACCGCAGTGATCGCCAGAGTTATCCTCCCCTGGCGGTGGCCACCTCCTACGATTTGCAGCATGCCGGACGCCTGTGGACCTCGGATGAATCCCCCAGCCAGCGGGTTCTAGGACATGTGACACGTTTGGCCCGCCATTCCCTGGAGATTATTGAAAACAGCCTGATGACAAAGGATCTGAGGTTTGTGCGTCCGGCGCAATTGTTTCGAGCTTCCAACGAGGGTTACGATTTGGTCATACAACTCAAGCCCGATCTGGTGCCCAATTCCTTGTGCTACGACCTGGGATCTCCGTTTGTGTCCTTTGGCAAGCCCAACTTTCTGCTGCCACGAGCCGGAGCAGATCGACTTGCCAGGATTGTGGGACAATTGAGGGTGAGATAGGAATTAATTCGCGTGTGTTACAAGATACTCATTTCTTTTCTTTTAGTCTGCCTATTCCGACTTCGCTGCCTTCTTCTATAATCCCCACGGTGGCAAGGAAATAGCCATTATGTGGCGCCCACCCTCTGAATTTGCACCCAAGCCCTTTAAGGTCACCGAACTGCAAGGCTGCTCTCCTTGCGATAATGGAAAGGTGCAAGTTCTCAAGGAAACGCTGCTCGAGGACTTTAAATTCCTGCTTAAGGATTTCTACCTGCGCATTGCCACACCAGAGGAGCTCAAGCGGGAACAGCGCGAGCATCAGCAGCCCAAGCGGTACTTCAATGCCAATAAGGAACAGGAGGCGTCTAGTCCAAAGCCGAAAAAGCAGAAGGTTCGGAAGGAAACTGAGCAGGAGGCACCACCCAAAAAGAAACGCCTCATAAAAAGCTCGGCTCTGAAGGGCCTTAATTAGTTGTAATCATAGCTTAATTTTTAGCTGTGTAAGTTGACAAACTTTTAAAAATATTAGATAGGTATTGAAAAATATACATTTTTATGAGCCAAAAAGTTGCATATAAAAATAGTGGAAATATAGATGAGTAGAGATCGATAGTTGAAAAGAAAAGTTTAACATCAATGCTGTTAGTTAGTGGCTGCTAAATCCTAGTTTCTATTAGTAAGAATTATCCTGTAAGCCGTAAGTTGGTTTCCTTATTGGCCTGGAAACTGGAGCTTTGTTGAGAGTTCGTGGATAGGGAGTTCTACTCAGCGGAATCGTCCTATAGAAATCCTGTTCCTCCTTCCTTAAAATACTATCCAATTGCTGAGAGCAGGTTTCCTTCTCAAAACGCTCCCAATCCCGATCTGGTGGACAGAGATCAAAACGAATTTGTCGCGATGTGCAAGGCTGCTCCGCCGGACATCTGGGCGTCTGAACTTGGGGTCGCACCTGCGCCATCAGCTCCTGTTCCATGCAAGTCTGCTGCGACTTGCAGTGCCGACAGGGATGATGGCTCTCCTCCGACGACGTGAATTGGCATTCATCTGAGGTATATGACTCGGCGGAGGACTTGCTAGCCAGGTGGCTAGATGAGGTATTACAGCCGGTTGAGAGTGTGTTGGGTTGCGTCTGGCAAGCGGAGTTCTGTGGCTCCTTTTTCACAATTGGTTTTGGACTGGGACTGGGACTGCACTGAGTTTGGCAAGACACTTTCTGCGGCGACTCCTTCTTCACTATTGGAGTTGTAAAGGTCTGAGTTTGGCAGCTCGCTTTTTGGGGCGGATCATCTTGGAAAATGTGCGTTTTATTAGGTAACTGCTGAGTTTGGCAGCTGGAATGGTGCATCTCGGACCTCGGACAATGCTGGCAACCGGTGTTCGTCATCAGGCCACTGGTAGAAGTGCCGGCGCTGTAGCAGAGTGGAAAAACGGGTTCCGATCCTGATTTAATCTTAGACCAACCCAATTGAGTGGTCACGCTGGCAACTCCTTTTGCCCGGGAGGAGATCGGCTCCAGGAAGGGACAAGGAGTATTGGCCGTGGTCGTGGGAAGCTTCATATCCGCATCACGGTCGACATCCATCTGCCACTTGACTTTATTCCGCGCGGTCTGTGCGATAAGATCCTCCAGAGTACACAAATTCGAGGTGGTGGGCAGGGAGAAAGGCACTGTCGCTGGTGGAGTAGAGTCCACGGGGCAGAGCCGTCCGTTGGCTCCCAGGCGATTGTAGCTCAGCATTCGAATGTCCTCCACCCGCCGAACGTCCTGTTGGGTGACCACGAAGATCTCATTGCCCACCATAATGGGAACTTGGTGAAGTAAAAGTGGGTTAGTTAATCTTGTTTTTAGGATACTGAAAGATAGAAGCTCACTATGCACAGCTGGTGCCGCTTCCTCGGACACCTGCATCACCTTCTTCACAGTGGAATTGTTGGACATTGTCTTTTGCTTACAAATAATTTTGAAAATGTTTTCAAAATGTATCTGGTTATATTACACATTTACACAATTTTTTTACGAAACACAAAAGAAAGGGAAAGTTTGACAGGAAAAATTTCTAAATCTTGGCATTTAAAAAAATGTAATTTACATTTGCAAAATTTAATTTTTAATTATATTATATCGTAAATTAAAAAATGTTTTTTAATGGATATCGTTGCGAAAGATCAAAAAACAGGTTTCAAAGGACTGATCTTGGCCATAAGTAAATAATTGCTTAAGTTAAACATACAGTTTGAATCGTAAACTAATTCATTTTGAGGCAGCTTACGTAAAGGAATAATAGATAGTATTATACACTTTCGATTTTGTTTTGTTTGTCCCAGCCAAAAAGGCGATTAAATCAAGGGATCTATCAAAAGCCAAAACGCACTGAAAAATACTTAATTGCAACACTGAAAATGTATCTTTAAGGAAAAGCTTAAAGAAAGTTTCTTTCTATAAATATAAATCTAATCCTAGCAGAAAATCGTGTATCTCAAGGCCTTTTTAACTTCGAATAGATTCCTCCTTAACATTGGAAGCAATGTTAGCTCCCGTTGTTACGGAGTCCTTATCCTTGTTTCCAAAGTCGGGATACAATTTAGCCACCTGCCCAAGCGGCGTGCAAAGGCGTCCGGAGAAATCCAATCGTTTGTTGGACTGACTTCGTTCCGCCGAGGAGATGATGTCGAGCAGAGATCTAGCGAAAATCAAGTGATTAGAATAGGATGAATAATAGATTTAAGACCCACCTTTGCCCGCAGCTGGACATGCGACGCTTGCTGGCCTTCAGCAGGCTATTGGAGTTGTTACTGCCACTGCCACTTCCGCTGCTCAGGGGCTCCAGCCGTTCGGGAGAGAGCGGGGATTCGGTGTAGGATCGCAGGAGGCTGGCGCCTGGTTCCGATTTAAGTGGCGCATCGCCGTAGGCGGCACGTAAGCTCTGCAGGCTTTCCAGCAGATTCTTGTGGTGCACAGTGGTGGCATTCAGCTGTATAAGCTGCTCTAGCTCCCTGTAAAGCAAGCGATACTGGTCCTTGGCCTTGGATAGCTTGAGTCTAATGCAAAAAGAAATAATTACAATTATTAAGAAAACTTATAATTATCAGTAGACATCGGGTTATATGTTTTTCTGCATTTATGCTCCAAATACCGACACATTTTTGATTTAGGCACTATATTAAATTTGTACTCAAATGAATATGAATGTTTTTATGCAAGGGAGTATGCAAGATATGTCGAGAATATGCAAAATATGTCGTATGCTTTATCGTATGTTTTATGCCTTATAGGCACTAAGATTTTTAAGTGTCTTTCAGTAGTTCACAAGGAACTACTATACAAAAAATAGCTAGAATCGGGCCACTATATCTTAAAGAAATGGGTCACAAAAAAAATAAGTTACATTTTCCCTGAACTACTGCTTGTTTCTAATAGAAACTTTCTATGCCCTAATGAGTAGGACCAAGAAATCATAAGTTATCAGAATAAGCTTAGTGTTTAATTTCCCACCTCGCTCCATTCGTATGCGTGAAGGGCAGCACATCGCCGCGCGAGGCGCTCTTGTAGAGCTCATGAATGTGCTGCTGGCAGCGCACCTCCTCCTGCTTGTCCATGTCCTCTTTGACCAGCAGATGCAGAAAGTGCGGTAGCCAACTGATCTGCCGCTGCAGGTGGAACAGTATCGACGAACTGGTGGTCAGCGGGAAGTAGCGGGGCAATCTACGCGACATATTAGGTGCAGACTGATCCTTCACCTTCAGCGGCACCATGCGCGACATCTTAATGAGCTGACCCAGCTCAGCGGTGCGATAGTCGGCGACGCGTCCTCCTGGCCCATCGGCAATCGCCGGAGCCTCGTCCATGCAGGAGCGCGTGATGCACAGCGAGTGGACGAATATTTCACCGCCTCGCGCTGAAAGCATGTGGCTGGTGGCCTTGGAACCAGTCTTTCGAGGCATCTCCAGCAGCACCGAGCGTCCGTTTAGCAGGAAGTTGATCAGGCAGGAGCTGGGTCGTGAAGTAACATCCACGGGCGTCACCAAAAACTGGCCCAGGCAGGGCTGCAGATCGGCGGAGCCGCAACCGCGCGGTGTGCACCACTTGAGCGTGACCGTCTCGTAGGTGGCGCCCTGTTTGATGCTCGTGGGCAGGCTAAAGTCCGGGCCACAGGTGATCGAATGCGCGCGCCGGCTGTGCAGGATTTCCACATCGTAGTTGGCGCTAGAGTTGGCATTCTGCTCCTCCTTCATTGGGATATTGGTCACCGTGGTGCTGGCCAGATCGTAGTGATTAAGAATCAAATGCGTCAGCTTGTACGAGATGTCCGGTGCGCTGACCGTGTGAATCTCGACGTCCAGCAGGGGGGAGATCTTGAGCAGGCTGCGATTGGTCACCAGGGATTCGACGCCCAGCGGCACAATGTTGAGGATGACCAGGTGGCAGTGATCGATGGCCAGGCCCTTTTTGGCGGGCGGAGCGGCCAAAGCGTTCTGCTGCACCAGCACCGTGTTGAAGATGTCCTCCAGGCTCTTCATGCTCGTGTTATCCCGCGCCGAGGTGATGCAGATGACGCGACCCTTGTTCGGAATGCGTGGCAGCTGTTCCTCCGTGCTAATTTCCGCCATTGCCGCCAGCTGCTCATCCGTGGGCTCCGCCAGCGCCTCGATGGCCGCCCGCAGGCCATGGATCACCGAGTAGTCCGAGGATGTGGGCACGTTTCGGGAGGGAACTCCAACCATCACCATGGCGTTCATCACATGCGACATATTCTGCGTGCTGGGACTCCAGGTGTTCACGATGTGCGCCGCCGTATCGGAAACTATGAATCGCACGTGCTTCTTGCCCGGAAACAGATCCCAGACAACGCGGCAGTACTCGATGGAGGATTCGCAGGCGCAGGTCCACAGGCTCTTGCTGAACTGGGATCCACCGGCTGCTCCGCCGGCGGTGGCGGCATTTCCCGCGGCTCCCGGAGCGCCCACGTCCGCCGATGGCTTTCCCTTGAGAAAGTCCATGGAGATATACTCCTCGCTGGCTATGCTAAAGTACCGCGTGTGGTCCAGCACGAAGATGGTCTTCTGGTTGCGCTCGAACATGGTGGTCTCGCCTGGGCAGCTAAAAACGCAGGGAAATTAAACTAATCGAACGCCGAATCTTAATTGTTTACAGTCCTCGTTCACCACGAACAGCTGGCTTAGCCGTGGTGAGACCGGCGCAATTTTCTGGCAACGCCGGGGAAACGAGAGGTGGGTTTGACGCGATATATATGAACCATTCACACTGGGTTTATTTTTTGCAAAATAGAATTCAATATTAATTTAACTTGGAAATTAGTATACTAAATATTTGCTGATAAATATGAATATTTTGTTAACTTCGGATTTGTCATAAATTACGCGTTATTCCTTTGAAGTTTAAAATTTACTGATATATCGCTAACTAAAGTTAATAATAACAAATTCAATAAATAACAAATAAAAACACTATAAACATGTATTTTACTAATATTTTTTAAAGTTAGACCAATATATTTAAGATTAAAAAAGCACATCTTTAGAAATTCGCCCGTCTTCTTTTCACCCCATCTGGCAACACTCTTTGAGAATCACGTTGTTGGACGTTAAGCAAAAGCTGTCAAAATTTCGTAATATTTTCTAGATTGTTTTTTTTGACCCCTAAACTCTGAGTGAAACGCGCGAGTAGCGCACACGCCAAAGTAGCAGCAGCATGTCGTGGCTTTTGGGCAGGAACCGCCAGCAGCCGCAGCCGGAACAATCGGGAGGTTTTGCTGATGGAGGAGGAGGAGGAGGCGCCGATCCGGAGGGCAGGACGGCCGCCGGAAAGTCCGGGGACGCTGAACTCAGCCGAGCTGAGCGCAAGGCCATGGAAGCCTACCGCTTCGATTCCTCGGCTCTGGAACGGGCGGCGGATGCGGCCAAGACCCTGGAGCGATCAAGTAAGCGGAAAATTTCATCAGCCAAGTTGCATAACCACCGACATGCGCCATGCTATCGCAGCGTGCGTATTGAGTGCCCCCTTATGACCCACCGAAATGTTAATCTCGTGCAGAACACGCCCGGGAGGCCCTCGAGCTGTCCAAGATGCAGGAGGCCACCCGGCAGACGGAGTACAACACCAAGGTCAAGGAGTACGAGGCCCACATCGAGCAGGCCAAGGTCGAGCAGAAGCGCATCGATCACGAGGAGCGCCGCAAGACGCTCATCGAGGAGACGAAGCAGCAGCAGCAGCGCGCCCAGTACCAGGATCAGTTGTCCCGCAAGCGCTACGAGGATCAGCTGCAGCAGCAGCAGCGCGTCCAGGAGGACAATCTGCGCAAGCAGGAGGAGAGCGTCCAGCGGCAGGAGGCGATGCGCCGTCAGACCATCGAGCACGAGATCGAGATGAAGGAGAAGAACAGGCTGAAGCTGCTGGAGCACGAGCTGCGGGCCAAGGCGCGCGTGGATCGCGAGAACCGCGACATCAACCTGGAGAAGATCCGCCTCAAAGCGCAGGAGCATCGCACCACCGTGCTGGAGGGCATCAAGTGGGTGATAGTATTAGGGTTGGGTAAAAACTGCTCATTTGGGTGAACACTTGCTCACTTGTTCTTTTTTTCCCAATGAGTCAACTCACTCAGTTTGCTCACTTGTTCACTTGTTCATTTGTTCACTTGTTCACTTGCTCACTTGCTCACTTGCTCACTTGTTCACTTGCTCACTTGCTCACTCGTTCACTTGTTCACTTTCTCACTTGTCCTGTCCTTAACTTTTTTACTGGCTCTAAGAAAACAGCTCATTGTCTGTAAAACCGTATGCAAAATGCATACTAAAAGTAAAAAAAATACTTTTTGTGCCAAAAACAGCAAGAGAGCAACTGAGCAAGTGATCTAAAAAGATCAAATAAGAGAGCAAAAATGAACAAGTGAACAATAAAGAACAAGTTCGAAGGAACATGTTCACTCGTTTTTGTTCACTTACTCATGAGCAACCCAAAACTAGGTGATAGCCTAGACTTTGGCTTGATTAAGTTATTGATTTATTATTTTTAATTCACAGAACTGCTGGAACCGTGATTGGCGCCGGCGCCGAGGCCATGCTCACCGATTGGGACAAGGTTTTGACCGCCGCTGGAGGACTTTCGCTCCTGGCTCTCGGCGTCTACACCGCCAAGGGCGCCACCGGCGTGGTCTCCCGCTATGTGGAGGCACGCATCGGCAAGCCCACGCTGGTCGGCGAGACGTCGCGCTTCGCCTTCCTGGACGCCCTGAAGAACCCGCTGAACTACCTGAAGAGGCTGCGCGCCAAGCCCGCCGATGCTCTGCAGGGCGTTGTCTTGAATCCCAAGTTGGAGGAGCGGCTGCGCGACATTGCCATTGCCACGAAGAACACGCGTATCAATAGGGGAATGTACAGGAACGTCCTGATGCACGGACCACCCGGAACGGGCAAGACCATGTTCGCCAAGAAGCTGGCCGAGCACTCGGGCATGGACTTTGCCATCATGACCGGCGGCGATGTGGCGCCCATGGGCAAGGAGGGCGTGACGGCCATACACAAGGTGTTCGACTGGTCGCACACCTCGCGGCGCGGCCTCCTGCTGTTTGTGGACGAGGCGGACGCCTTCTTGCGCAAGCGCTCCTCGGAGAAGATCTCCGAGGATCTGCGTTCCGCCCTGAACGCCTTCCTGTACCGCACCTCCGAGCAGAACCCCAAGTTCATGCTCGTGCTGGCCTCCAACACTCCGGAGCAGTTCGATTATGCCATCAACGATCGTCTGGACGAGATGGTCGAGTTCACGCTGCCTGGTTTGGAGGAACGGGAGCGCCTCTTGCGCCTGTACTTCGATAAATATGTGCTGCAGCCTGCCGCTGCGGGTGCCAAGTGAGTGCTTCGTTTTACCAGCCTCTAAACATTTTCATTATCTTATTTTATTTCCTTTTCAGGCGCTTCAAGCTGGACACCTTTGACTACGGACAGACGTGTTCGAAGATGGCCGCTCTGTGCGATGGCATGTCGGGCCGAGAAATCTCCAAGCTAGGCGTCTCCTGGCAGGCGGCTGTCTATGCCTCCGAGGATGGTCTGCTCACCGAGAAGATGGTCCTGGACAGGTGCTACTCCGCTGCCCAGCAGCACAAACAGAAGGTGGGTGGTTTGGAATTGGTGTGGTGGTGTATTAACCTGAAATCTTCGATCTCTTCCAGATGGCCTGGCTCTCGGATCAGGAGCGTGCCGACCACAAATCCATTACGGGCGCTGTTTCTCCGCCCCTCACCCTTACTGCCAACAAACTGTGAGGTCCAAAAGGAGAGCGAAAGTTGAAGTAGATGCAGCCTGCATTCAAAACTTGTTTAGTTTTCTAATCATTTAACTTTAAGTTGGTAACGCACAGGGCTTTATCTTACTACTGGATACCAAACAGCAGCCGAGACACCAGATAAGTGCATATCGGTTATGCGTATGCATTTAACAGCCTGTACAAAATCGCTGGCGGTAGCACGTGTTCGTCTAAAGATGCAATTAAGTTTGACCCACTGATAATTGTATTATAAGCTTGCATTAACTGTCTCTATAGTGTGTACAATAAGAGGTATATATTTTAACTGCTGTTGTTGCATTTCGTATGTTAAAGCTTTGGACGTAGACTGTAAATTGAAACCCGTCGCGCCAGCACTGTGAGAGATTTATATTAAACTTCTCGCTGGCGCGGCCACCCAATTTGACTTGTCCGCAGTGTTTTCCTATATATGAGTATGGAGTAAATATATATAGACTACTTGTTAAAAATTGCGTTTTTAATTTCTGGTAAAATGTTTTTTCTTGTCTCAGAATATACAAATATTTAGTTTTTATCAGTGATAATCCGATGGAATACAGTGAGTTTGAACCAATCATCAACTAATCGCCTTGGAAATTACTCTTCCGCTACTTTTTTCCACGTGGATCATGGGGTGAGCACCAGCCGCAACTACCAGAACCTAAAAAAAAAAGTGGGGGCTTAAATAAATCTTTTTATTATTATACATATGTACCATTGCAGAGGGTATTATTATTTTGGTCAGCAATTTGTAAACTTGATCTACGTGCACGTTAAAGTGCTGCAAAAAATTTTAACATTTTTTAATTACATGTTATTTGCTGTCAACTTTTACGCAACTTAAATGTTAAAACATGTAAAATTTTATTTTTGATTGTTAGGTACTGTTCCAAATTATGATCAAGGTTATAAGAACTACAAATGTACTTCCTTATTTGATTTTAAATATAAATTGAGTGATAAACTTTTGAGCAAACGCGTTTTGGGCAATTATTAAACCTGAATCGCCCCCTCTAACGCTCACAATCGCCCACTAACGATTTTAATTTTGTGTCCTGCGCCCACATCTTTAAAGATTTCCGTGAAGTATAAATGCAATTTTGTTGTGTATATTTATACCTATCGAAATGTAGAAGACATTTTTCAAATCGGACCATTCATTAAAAAGTTATACGGTATCAAAATTGTTTATATATCTATCTCCCTCGCACTCCCTTTAGCTGAGTTACGGTTATTAGATAGTCGGGACACCAACCCTAGTATAGAGATAGTCGGGACACCAACCCTAGTATAGCGTTCGCACTCCCTTTAGCTGGGTGACGGGTATTAGATAGTCGGGACACCAACCCGACTATAGCGGTTTCTCTTGTTTTTTTGTGGTATAATGTACATACATATGTAGGTACCCTAAATTAAAATTTCTTTACGCAATTATAGTTCTATTTGATGTCACAGAAATCAGTTTAAATTAGGGACCGAAAATAATGATTATTTTTCAATCATATAGCTGCCATAGGAACGATCGGAGAATTAATGGAAAAGTAATAGGAAATAAATTCTAGCTTCTTTGGTTTTTATTGTATTATCTTCTACTCTAGGATATGACTCTTTTTAAATATTTCCGAATTTCAATTTTAATTTAATCAAAATCGGACGACTATATCATATAGCTGCCATAGGAACGATCGGAAAATTAATGGAAAAGTAATAGGAAATAAATTCTAGCTTCTTTGGTTTTTATTGTATTATCTTCTACTCTAGGATATGACTCTTTTTAAATATTTCCGAATTTCAATTTTAATTTGATCAAAATCGGACGACTATATCATATAGCTGCCATAGGAACGATCGGAAAATTAATGAGAAATATTAGAAAATTGAACATTTTTGCGATTTGTTAATTAATAGGAATGATCTGCAAGGGTATATAAGCTTCGGCTGGCCGAAGCTAGCTTCCTTTCTTGTTTTTTTTTGCATTGTCGGAGTCTAGCGATAAGAATGTACGCAAAAAGTCTAGAAGAAGGGCCTGTGCCCCAAAAATCGCGAAATAATTACCCTCGATGGACCGCGATTTCGCAGAATTTACGTGTCGAAGATTATCAGCATAAATACAAAACATGAAAAAATAAACAAGATAACATTTCAAATTGAAATTTTTAAATTGTTTACCCTGTTGTACAGATATATGGGCACTTCAACCAAGCCAAAAACCTTAAAACTTGAATAAAACATATTTCCACATGATTTTGCCCCGATATTAGTTTCTAAATAGTTTGGTCCTAACCTTAACTACAAATTTGGAGTATAGTTTGATTTTTTTTTATGACAAACCCAAAAATTAGTTTTTGGTTTTTTTTTTGTTATTTTTTGGACCTGTCTTCAGTTGTTAATTTATCCTTTAGGAATGGTAATATGTGACCTTATTCTGTACTGAATGCTTAACTTACATGTTAAACTATTAAGTTAAATGCAAAACAGCCAGTAATTAAGGGATAGAGGTACAGAAATACGTTTTGAAAACGTTAAGAAAAAATGTCCCTAGCGAAATGTCCCGAGCGACATGTCCCGAGCGAATATGTTTGAAACTGCATACAAAAAAAAGGCAAGAAATTTTTAAGTAAAATTAAAACCATTTCAACATAAAAAAAATCGCATTCAAATATTTCACCAGAATTCGCTAAATTCTGTTGTTGAATGAACTTCCCCGAAATCTACTTCTATTTTTGTCCCGAGCGAATACGGCAGTTTTTTAACGATATCTTAAAAACTAAAAATGGTACAAAATCAAGATTTTTACACAAAATAGAGCTTGGGAAGAGTGAAAAGAAAAGCCCATTATTAAAATTAAAATCAATTTTTTTTACAATTTTTTTACAATTTTTTTTCAACTTTAAAGGTGTGCAAATGTCCCGAGCGACAATATGGAAGTGCCCATATCTGATTTAGCTATTTAGTGACCCGGCTGCCAACACCAATTATTTTTGTTCACATGTCGCCGCCTATGATAAATCTTAAATTTGGACTCTGTCAACCGAAAAAAGTGGAAAAATCCGAACTTTAAAAATCCACCAGAAATCCAGTTTTCCATGGATTTGGGCCATATCCGGCTTGTTTTATTCGGTAGGATGTAAACTTTAAGTTTGTACCCATTATGATTTTTCAACGGATTTATTTCGAGTTTTTACGATATATACAGCCGACTTACAGTCGACCAAAAAACACATTTTTCATCTTTGTCGAGCTTCTGCGCTGCCACTAATCACTAATCATATTGATCTGTACGGCAAAGTTAAGCTCTGATCTATCGGATGGATATCTGCCAAGATATAAGAAGAAATTCGAAAAAAGTCTGATATTTAACATTTTGAACTTTAAAAAATCTTTAAAAAAAACTGTGCCATCGAAAAAAAAATTAGTGGTATTTTCGTGATTTGGGGGTTCAACACTAACAGAATTTGCCATCAATTGCTTTGGAGCAGTTTGGCTGTAACCTAGTCATATAAGACTGCCTTAACTTAAAATTATCAAATTGAGTTGGCCAAAAGACTCGCAACCATTTATTTGGGGAGTTAACAGTTTTCTGAGTAGGTTTGAGCTAACTCGAGGTAAAAAAAACGGTTTCAATTTTAAAATATTTGATATTTGGTTCGAAACGTTTTAAAAAACGTTTGATCGTTTTTCAAAATGTTCATAAATAACGGAGTTAGCGTGAAATGCTCTAAAAAATCCCCCGTCGCTGAGAGCCACACGCTGTCGCCGCTTCGGGGCGAACGACAAAACGGGCCGAGAGAGAAAATGGCGTAGAAGTCGAAGGAGAAGAAAATTCATTTCGTTTGAGGAAAAAATCGGAAAAACTAAGGAAAATTTGGCTGATATTAAAAATAGTACAATTGAGCTGTGAGCAGAGATGTTTCCGGGTGGAAACGGCAACGCCGACTTGGGCTACAACAAGCACGCCCACGCCCACGTCCACGGACACGGACAACATGGCCATGGGCACAACCATAATCACAACCCGAATCAGTTCCTGGCGCAGCCCCCACCGCCGCCCACGCACTTTCCCCTGCCCCCGGGCGGAGGTCAGGGCATGGTGACGCCCCTGGTGGCCGCCGGTCTTCCGCTGGCCATGCAAGGCGGTGCCAACATCGATTGGGCGCAACTGGCCCAGCAGTGGATTCACATGCGGGATGCATCTCCAATGGCCATGCCAGTGGCTCCTCCGCCACCCATTATTGGCAATGTGCGGGAGTACCATCAGCAGGCGCTGGCCATGCCCATGCCCAGTGTGGTCCGGGCGGGATTCCCGATCCTCGAGGAGCACGGCGAGGCGGACATGGACATGGACGACGAGAATGAGCGGGGACATGGCGCAGAGACGCCTCCGCCGCCGGCTCCGGCGGTTACGCAATCCCAATGGCTGGCGGCCAGCGAGGCGCCAGGCCAGGCCACAGACGCCTCTGGCGGAGCAGGTGAGTGCCGATAAGATAGCCACAAAAAAAAACTGCCTCCTCATCCTCCTATTTTTCAGCTGTCACCCTGGGCAAGCAGCCATGGAACAGCTGGCCAACGCAGTCCGGCAAATCCATCGGCAATCCCACTTCGCATATACCCTCGCTGCTCAAACTGAACGTCAGCAATCCCAATGAGCCGCAGCAACAGCTGCAGTTGCAGTTGCAGGCGCAGCAGCAGCAGCAGCCAACGCATCCGCAAGCACATCAGCCACAACCACATCCACATCACCTAACACCACATGCACACCAGCCGCAACAGCAGGCGCAGCAGCAGCAGGAGAGCGGAAGTGGCAGTGCCAGCAGCGAGATTGACGCCAATAAACGCAAAATGTTGCCAGCTTGGATAAGGTGAGTGTTCCATGGAGACGACTGCTTAGCTCCTGGTCAAAAAATATTGCACATTTTTATAATATTTTAAAGAGTTTTTAAATTAGTGAATGTAACTTCTTTCAATTCCATTAGTTGGTGATTTAATTTATTCTGAACCTACATAAAAAACATTACAAAATCCAAAAGCCCACATATCCAGACAATCATTACTTAATTTAGAGTTTTCAGAATACTGGAACTACTTTTGAATGTTCATTACTAAAAAAATTTAACGGTACAAGTAAAGCTTTTTTTAAATTTTTCGATCTTTTCGATATAAACATTACTTAATTTAGAGTTTTCAGAATATTGGAACTACTTTTGAATGTTCATTACTAAAAAACTTAGCGGTACAAATGAAGCTTTTTATACATTTTTAAATCCTAAGCTAATAATGATCTTATCGATATAAACATTACTTAATTTAGATTTTTCAGAGTATTGGAACTACCTTTGAATGTTCATTACTATAAAATTGTACAATATAATTAAAGCTTTTCAATAATGTATAAATCCCAAGTAAATACGGTTCCTATCGATATTAAACGCTTACACCTTTTCAGAGAGGGCCTGGAGAAAATGGAGCGCGAAAAGCAACGGCAACTAGAGCGCCAGCAGTCCTCCGTTGGCACGCCTGATGATGAGGTCAACCATGTTAAGCAAGTATCAAGCAAAACACTAACAACACCTGTTAATCTATTGAACATCGCGAACGTGGTAAGTAAGGTCAGGGCGTGTAGGGTTAACTGACTCTCAAAACGGACCGAAAAGTGCCCTAAGTGCGGCACAACTCTCACCCCAATTGGTTGTACACGAACGATACTTGAACTGAAACTGAAACTGATGTTTCGCCATTAAGAACACTTACTAAAAACGCAACGGACTGTAGAGCAGACTGCAGATAGAAGTGCAGACTGTCGATTAAACATACCCTTGAAATTCAGGCTAGCGACAGCGAAGATTCCATTGGCTTGCCTGTGGAGGCGCGTGGCGAACTGAAGGATCAGCAAATAGGTAATGAATTGATAAGTAAAGCCGGCGATATCAGCAGCGGTGAGGAGCAGGAGGAGGAGGAGGAGCAGCGAGGAGCCATCGATCCAAGCGGCAATCGGGCGGCGGCGGCGGAGGCTACCGAAAACGATGTCAATGGTAAAAACTACGAAGAAAGACTGGCGGATCTGGTAGGCATCACCATTTTGACCCGGATGGTTGGCTCAGCCAGGCGATGAAATCGAGTGAGTCTCAGAGGCGAAGGAACTGCGGAATTCTGGCTGCTCTGCAGTTCGTTCACTCTTCACTGGACTTTCATTCCCTGGCCACCGGCGGCACATCCAAATCCCTATATACCCCATTTAGTTGCAAACAATCTATGAACACCCAAATAAAACCCATCTGTAGATGCTTGTGGTGCGTCGGACACTAACCGAAATCCTGCTGGAAACCACAAACGAAGAGATAGCAGCCATTGCAGGCGAGACTCTGAAAGCACACCGTGCGAAAGGTACATTATGCATTACATTTAAGTTTACCCCAAAACCGATCTCTTCCAGCGATCGCGCTCGCGTGTGTGTGTGTGTAAGTAGTTATATAGATCGTAAGACGGCGCGGCTACATATATCGATCTTTGCTATCCGATCTTTGCTTGGATTACCGGACGTTTTGCCGGCGAGCGAGCGCCGCGTTACCATATCTTTTAATCACATGTCTTTGCTAATCTTTAAATCCCCCAATATAATGAATTGATATCGTACACCACACAAAAACCAATGAAATCACTTGCTGAATTTTTTAATCGTTATATATAATATATGCCTATATATATATGTATGTATGTGTAAATCAAAAGCGTCATCAGCCCAAGTGATTCGAAAAAGCGCCTTGTCCTCCATTACCGGCAACTTGGGTAAGTAACCAAAAATCAGTTTAGCTCGTAAGTTTCTTTTGCACTATTTTTGTTTAGAGGTAGTCTGAGTTATGCTTGGTGCCCTCTTTCTATGTCCCCAAAAAAAAACAAAAAAATTATTGGAATACCCCCTGGCCAAGCTCTAAACTACTATGCTTCTATAACTTCTATAACTTTGAGCCATGGCCAAAACACTTTCTATCCTCTTGGCGCAGTTTGGTCCTTCTATCTCGCTTTTCCTTTTCCCTTCTAAAGAATTGTCGAAAAACCATTTAAAAAACATATCAAAAACTGCGCCCTAACTACATGAAGCCTGGTAGCAACAATTAGCACTTGACTGATTTGAATTATAGGTTTAGCAGCCTATGGCGATTCTTCCAGCGAAAGCGAAGAGGATGAGGACGATGAGGATGGCGAGCGCCAAGGAGAAGCAGCAAGGGATGCCGATAAAAGCGTTCAACTAAGCGCGGAAGAGTTGAAGGTGGGTTGATATGATTCTTCTATATTCTATATAATTAAATATCCTCCCGCTTCATAGGCTCGCATACGGCGCAGCAAACGATCCTTCGAGAGAGTCATCGACGACATTGAGGATCGAGTGGCCAAGCAGGAGTTGCGCGATGAGCAAACTCTGCAGCGACATCGCAAGCGAGAGCTGGAGCGATCCGAGGCGGGTGCTAATGAGCATCGCCGACCGCTGGTCAATGCCGAACCGCCCGGCGAGTTGGCCAGCCAAGTAACCCACGAAAAGCTGCAGCAGTTTAATGGTAAGTAATGCACTTTTCTATCAGAGAAGAAACTCCATTAAACATAATCTTTCCACCCAGGAAAACGGCCAAGTCGCAAGGAGAGAACCACCCGCTTCAGCGACAACAAGGACGGCAAGCAGCAGTCGCAGAGCTACGTGCAACAAGTGGTGGCCGCCGCCAATGTGGCACCACTGAGCTCTCTCAGCTGCAGCACTGGCTCCCAGAAGCTGAAGCCCGTTCCCAATCCGGCCACCAATCTGCTGCAGATGCCCGAGTCGGTGGCCACAATGCTAAGTGCGGCGGACAAGGCGCTGCACAAGGCCAACAAGTCGTCGTCGCGCAAATCGAAGAGCAAGCGACGACGACACTCGTCCACCTCGTCCTCCTCCAGCAGCAGCAGTGGGAGCAGCTCGAGCAGCGACAGCGAGGATAGCAGCAGCTCCAGCGGATCCAAGACGTCCAGCAGTCGCAGCAAGCGGGCCAGTCGTCATGGTCATAGACGCAGCCACGGCAGCAGTCGCAGCAAATACGAGCGACGCGATCGCGACAGAGAAAGGGAAAGGGAAAGGGGCAGGGATCGGGATCGGGATCGGGAGCGGGATCGAGGACATCGCCAGCATCGCAGTAGTGGAGGCCATCGCCAGAGGTCTTCGCGGCGACACCGGGACTCCAGCCACTCTGGCGGGGATGAGGGCGGCAGCAGCAGCTACCAACGCTCCTCGCGGCAGCAGAGCAGCAGCCGCAGCCACGATCACGGCAGCAGCAGCGGCGGACGGAAGCGACACCGCACGAGATCCCGCTCCAAGTCGCGCAGCACCCACCACTCCAGCTCCAACGCGTACTCCTCCACTTCTTCCGCGTCGCATTCGCGCAAGCGCCACTAAGATTACGTCTACGCCTAATTGTTACAATTGTATAATTATATTTTCTCTTCCGTTTAAGATGCTTTCAGTAAACAGTTTTAATCCAGCATAATAAATTCGGATTTGCTAAAGACTAATTTGATCTTGATTTTATTCGTGGTTTGTCTACGAAAGATATCTTTTAATATGAAAAATTACAATAATATTGGGATGTCATTTTAAAATTTAAACAGTCATATTCTAAGGTCCTTTTTAAGTCCTTTTTTACCGAATCCTCATTGACTTTCAGAAGGTCCAAAGGGGTTATTCAGTTTTCAATCCCCTTTTTAAGTTTTCCCTAAAAGTGAATTTTTAATCGTTGCTCGTAAGAGAGTGAAATAAGAATATAAAACAGAAACAAATTATTTTTTGTTTGAAAATAAATAATTTATTATTCATATTGCTAATAACAATTGGTTGCTAACTTAAGACATTTTAGTTAATACTTTGGTTTTTCATTTAGAATATTCAATTAAAACATTCTTATCAGTCTCATAAACTTAAAATAAACTAAGAATTAACCCAATGATGAACAGAAACTAGAGATTTAGTCGACCTCCTCGACCGTGGGTCCCGAGTAGCCGCCGAAGCCTCCGGCCTGCTGGCCACAGTTGGCTCCTGGATTACCGGCTGATCCTGCTGCTTGCTGATGCATCTTGGTCATGACGGGGGAGCAGTGGCGGGTGAGCTCCTCCAGCTTGTGGTCGAACTCCTCCTTCTCGGCGGTGGTGTTGCTGTCCAGCCACCGGATAATCTCGTTGCACTTCTCCAGCACGGAGCTCTTGTCGGCCTCCTCCAGTTTGCCAGCAGGTGCCTGCTCCACAGCCTGCTTCACGTTGAAGACGTAGCTCTCCAGGGCATTCCGAGAGGTGATGCGCTGGCGCTGCTTCTCGTCTTCATCCGCGTACTTCTCGGCCTCGTTCACCATGCGGTCGATCTCCGCCTGCGAGAGGCGTCCCTTGTCGTTCTTGATCGTGATGTTCTTGGCCTTGCCCGTGCTCATCTCCTTGGCGGCGACGTTCAGGATTCCGTTGGCGTCCATGTCGAAGGTGACCTCTATCTGGGGAACCCCTCTGGGCGCAGGGGGAATGCCGGAGAGATCGAAGGTGCCCAGTGCGTTGTTGTCCTTGGTCATCGCCCGCTCGCCCTCGAACACCTGGATGGAGACCCCTGGCTGGTTGTCCGCGTACGTGGAGAAGGTCTTGGTCTGCTTGCAGGGGATGCGGCAGTTGCGCTCGATCAGCTTGGTCATCACCCCGCCGGCGGTCTCGATTCCGAGCGAGAGCGGGGCCACGTCCACCAGCAGCACGTCCTGGATCTTGCCGCTCTGGTCCCCGCTGAGGATGGCGGCCTGCACCGCCGCTCCGTAGGCCACCGCCTCGTCCGGGTTAATGGAGAGGTTGAGGCTCTTGCCGTGGAAGAACTGCTGCAGCAGGCTCTGCACCTTGGGAATGCGCGTGGATCCGCCGACCAGCACGATGTCGTGGATCTGGCCCTTGTCCATCCTGGCGTCCGTGAGGGCCTTCTCCACGGGCTGCAGGGTGTTGCGGAAGAGGTCCGCGCACAGCTCCTCGAACCTGGCGCGGCTCACCTTGGTGTAGAAGTCGTGTCCCTCGAACAGGGCGTCGATCTCGATGGTGGCCTCGGTGCTGGAGGAGAGCGTGCGCTTGGCCCGCTCGGCAGCCGTCCTGAGGCGACGCAGGGCACGGGGATTGGAGCGCAGGTCCTTCTTGTACTTGCGCTTGAACTCCTCCGCCAGGTGGGTGACCAGTCGGTTGTCGAAGTCCTCGCCTCCCAGGTGGGTGTCTCCGGCAGTGGAGCGCACCTCGAACAGGGATCCCTCGTCGATGGTCAGGATGGAGACGTCGAAGGTGCCGCCGCCCAGGTCGAAGATGAGCACGTTGCGCTCTCCCTTGAGGTTCTTGTCCAGCCCGTAGGCCAGGGCCGCCGCCGTGGGCTCGTTGATGATGCGGAGCACGTTCAGGCCGGCGATGTGGCCGGCGTCCTTGGTGGCCTGGCGCTGGGAGTCGTTGAAGTAGGCGGGCACCGTGATGACCGCGTCCGTGATGCTCTCGCCCAGGTACGCCTCCGCCGTCTCCTTCATCTTGGCCAGCACCATCGAGCTGATCTCCTCGGGGGCGAACCGCTTGGCCTCGCCCTTGAACTCCACCCCGATCTTGGGCTTTCCGCCGTCGCTGACCACCTTGAAGGGCCAGTGCTTCATGTCCTCCGCGATCTTGGGGTCGTCGTACTTGCGTCCGATGAGGCGCTTGGCGTCGAAGACCGTGTTCCTGGGGTTCATGGCCACCTGGTTCTTGGCGGGGTCGCCGATGAGGCGCTCAGAGTCTGTGAAGGCCACGTAGGATGGGGTGGTCCTGTTGCCCTGGTCGTTGGCGATGATCTCCACCTTGCCGTGTTGGTAGACACCCACGCAGGAGAACGTGGTGCCCAGATCGATTCCAATAGCTGGCATTGTGTGTGTTTGTGTTTGTTCCTCACTTGGATAGTATGGATAGTTGGGTTAAAGGTAGTTCCTTCTTCTCTTCAGTAATAGCTTCTTGGTTAAGTTTACTTTACTTTACTTTAATCACTTTAACTTTAACAGTTTGTTGCAGATTGCTTAGCTTCTTCAGCTGCGTTTGGTTTGCTTAGCTTTTGCTTAGCGATGTTTTCAGTTTGCTTGATTGAATTGAATTGACGCTAAGAGAACCGAGCGGCCCTATTTATACTCCGGCGCTCTCTTCGCGAACATTCGAGAGTGGCGCTCTCGAAATAACGAGAACTCTGTGCTGTTGGTGGTGCGCCAGAGCGAGATAGCAGTCTATTAAGAGAGGGTGGACGGCTGTAGAAGAAATTTCTCGAATTTCCCCGAACAAACAAACAAACCTACCGCAACAAATGGTTGGATTGTTTTGGTTGTTTGGGTTTCTGGAATATTCGCGCGATTTTATTTGTTTATAATAAAGACCAAACACTATCTATAAGTTAGTTTAAATACAGCCGTGGACAGAATTAGGTGAAGACAGGGACCGTAAATAATCGTTATTTGAGATTTTTGTTTTAAAAGGCCTACTGAGATTTGTACAAGTTTTAATCGACAATTTAACTGGTTTTTATGGAATTTATAGACATCAACAAATAACATTTAATTTGCATTCCAGATTTGTTGACATGCATACATATTTTTTAACATACATACAGAAATACGATTTTTTTAAATAAATAATAAAAAGTTACCCAAACACAGGTTGCTTTTTCTAAATAATTATGTTTAAATATGTGTCCTAGCTAAAATAATAACAATTCTGCACAGTGAATAACCTAAGCTAATAGTCAAATACACTAAAAAAAAAGTTACATGCAAAAAAAATAAAATAATCAATTAAAATTTTTAAATGTATATTTTCGTATTAAAAATGTCGAAAAATGTATCCCAAATTTGCAGAATTTATTGAGTGAGGACCAGTTCTCAACTATCCATGATCAAACGCTACTTACTACTGGAAGTTAAAATGAAGACCTACATGCTTATGGACCGTCTTTACATGCAGCAATGCTTTTCTAATTAAATAATTAAAAAATATATAATTCTCAAGGCTTATTTTTTAAGTTACCTAATCGGGAAAGGCATTTTTAGGTATCTGCTATAAGCGTCTTCTGAGTAACTTCTGGAAGTGACTTCGGCAACACTTTTGGAAGTCACTCAGAAGTGACTTTAAGCTGTGAGCCACTGTATTATCGGCGTGGGTATTTACAAAGCCCAATATAATCAATATAATATAACCATATTCTAATGTATTTGCTTCTACTCTACGAGTTACGGGTATAAATAGTTTTAGTTTATTTTAGTAGGAGATAAGGTAAGGAAAACGAACGCACTTCAACTATTTCTGTTCACGGCTATATTTAAACTAACTTTTAGATAGTGTTTGGTCTTTAATATAAACAAATAAAATCTCGGGAATATTCCAGAAACCAAAACAACCAAAATAACCCAACCATTTGTTGCGGTAGGTTTGTTTGTTTGTTCGGGGAAATTCGAGAAATTTCTTCTACAGCCGTCCACCCTCTCTTAATAGACTGCTATCTCGCTCTGGCGCACCACCAACAGCACAGAGTTCTCGTTATTTCGAGAGCGCCACTCTCGAATGTTCGCGAAGAGAGCGCCGGAGTATAAATAGGGCCGCTCGGTTCTCTTAGCGTCAATTCAATTCAATCAAGCAAACTGAAAACATCGCTAAGCAAAAGCTAAGCAAACCAAACGCAGCTGAAGAAGCTAAGCAATCTGCAACAAACTGTTAAAGTTAAAGTGATTAAAGTAAAGTAAAGTAAACTTAACCAAGAAGCTATTACTGAAGAGAAGAAGGAACTACCTTTAACCCAACTATCCATACTATCCAAGTGAGGAACAAACACAAACACACACAATGCCAGCTATTGGAATCGATCTGGGCACCACGTTCTCCTGCGTGGGTGTCTACCAACACGGCAAGGTGGAGATCATCGCCAACGACCAGGGCAACAGGACCACCCCATCCTACGTGGCCTTCACAGACTCTGAGCGCCTCATCGGCGACCCCGCCAAGAACCAGGTGGCCATGAACCCCAGGAACACGGTCTTCGACGCCAAGCGCCTCATCGGACGCAAGTACGACGACCCCAAGATCGCGGAGGACATGAAGCACTGGCCCTTCAAGGTGGTCAGCGACGGCGGAAAGCCCAAGATCGGGGTGGAGTTCAAGGGCGAGGCCAAGCGGTTCGCCCCCGAGGAGATCAGCTCGATGGTGCTGGCCAAGATGAAGGAGACGGCGGAGGCGTACCTGGGCGAGAGCATCACGGACGCGGTCATCACGGTGCCCGCCTACTTCAACGACTCCCAGCGCCAGGCCACCAAGGACGCCGGCCACATCGCCGGCCTGAACGTGCTCCGCATCATCAACGAGCCCACGGCGGCGGCCCTGGCCTACGGGCTGGACAAGAACCTCAAGGGAGAGCGCAACGTGCTCATCTTCGACCTGGGCGGCGGCACCTTCGACGTCTCCATCCTGACCATCGACGAGGGATCCCTGTTCGAGGTGCGCTCCACTGCCGGAGACACCCACCTGGGAGGCGAGGACTTCGACAACCGACTGGTCACCCACCTGGCGGAGGAGTTCAAGCGCAAGTACAAGAAGGACCTGCGCTCGAATCCCCGCGCTCTGAGACGCCTCAGGACGGCCGCCGAGCGGGCCAAGCGCACGCTCTCTTCCAGCACCGAGGCCACCATCGAGATCGACGCCCTGTTCGAGGGACACGACTTCTACACCAAGGTGAGCCGCGCCAGGTTCGAGGAGCTGTGCGCGGACCTCTTCCGCAACACCCTGCAGCCCGTGGAGAAGGCCCTCACGGACGCCAGGATGGACAAGGGCCAGATCCACGACATCGTGCTGGTCGGCGGATCCACGCGCATTCCCAAGGTGCAGAGCCTGCTGCAGCAGTTCTTCCACGGCAAGAGCCTCAACCTCTCCATTAACCCGGACGAGGCGGTGGCCTACGGAGCGGCGGTGCAGGCCGCCATCCTCAGCGGGGACCAGAGCGGCAAGATCCAGGACGTGCTGCTGGTGGACGTGGCCCCGCTCTCGCTCGGAATCGAGACCGCCGGCGGGGTGATGACCAAGCTGATCGAGCGCAACTGCCGCATCCCCTGCAAGCAGACCAAGACCTTCTCCACGTACGCGGACAACCAGCCAGGGGTCTCCATCCAGGTGTTCGAGGGCGAGCGGGCGATGACCAAGGACAACAACGCACTGGGCACCTTCGATCTCTCCGGCATTCCCCCTGCGCCCAGAGGGGTTCCCCAGATAGAGGTCACCTTCGACATGGACGCCAACGGAATCCTGAACGTCGCCGCCAAGGAGATGAGCACGGGCAAGGCCAAGAACATCACGATCAAGAACGACAAGGGACGCCTCTCGCAGGCGGAGATCGACCGCATGGTGAACGAGGCCGAGAAGTACGCGGATGAGGACGAGAAGCAGCGCCAGCGCATCACCTCCAGGAATGCCCTGGAGAGCTACGTCTTCAACGTGAAGCAGGCTGTGGAGCAGGCACCTGCTGGCAAACTGGAGGAGGCCGACAAGAGCTCCGTCCTGGAGAAGTGCAACGAGATTATCCGGTGGCTGGACAGCAACACCACCGCCGAGAAGGAGGAGTTCGAGCACAAGCTGGAGGAGCTCACCCGCCACTGCTCCCCCATCATGACCAAGATGCATCAGCCGGCAGCTGGAGCAGGAGCAGCCGGAGGTCCAGGAGCCAACTGTGGCCAGCAGGCCGGAGGCTTCGGCGGCTACTCGGGACCCACGGTCGAGGAGGTCGACTAAATCTCTACTTTTTGTTCATCAATGGGTTAATTCTTAGTTTATTTTAAGTTTTTGAGACTGATGAGAATGTTTTAATTGAATATTCTAAATGTAAAACCAAAGTATTAACTAAAATGTCTTAAGTTAGCAACAAATTGTTATTAGCAATATGAATAATAAATTATTTATTTTAAAAGTACAAGAATCACTTTTTTTACTATACTTACGGAAATAGTTGGGAAATAATCTGAGGTTTTAATAAAACATCTGCATTCAAATATTCCATGAAGATTATTTCGAAAATCCTTTTAATAACTACGTAAATAATCATTTAAACAAAATATCATGAAAATAAATTAATGACTTGAATTTATTTAGTTGAAGTACTGGGGCAAGCGCTTTAAAAAATAAATAAAATTTCAACACAATATTTTAAAAATCTTATTGGAAAAGTAAGACACAAATACACTTTATATTGGCTTAGCTGGGACCTCAACCAGTAAACATTGTGACTGAATGCGCATCGTGGCGAATAGCGCCGTTACCTGTGCAACAGCGGCGAAGAAGCAGCGATTTGTGTACGTGTGTGTTTTGTCTTTGCGACGTGGTGATTACAGAGCCACCAGAACCGATACCAAACCCAACACCGATCAGATCCGATCCCCGCCAGAATCCAGCACTTCCATGCAGATGCGCGTCACCGAGTTGCCGGCAGTCCAGCTGCTGCTGCCCCTTATCCTGATTGGCCTGGCGAGTGGTCAGCGCGTCGCTCCCGGCGTGAATCCGCAGCACTATGTGAGTAGAGAGCTCTTCTTACCAGCCAGTTCTAACCAACCCGCTCCAATTGCAGCAGCAAGTGCCGCAGCAGGTGCCCCAACATCACCCACCGCCGCCGCCGCAGCACCACCAGCCGGTGTACCAGCAACAGGTCCCCTCGGCGCCCGGTGTGCCTCCCCAGCAATATGTGAGTGGATGATGTGGTATCCCCCATTTCAAGGACACTAATCGGTTCTTCCCTCCCCCCTCTAGCAATATGAACAGGTGCAGGTGCCGGTGCAACAGCAGCAGCAGCAATATCAGCAAGTTCCTGTGCAGCAGCAGCAACAGCAGCAGCCAATCCACCAGCAAGCACCACCAGTTCCGCAACAACAAGTGCACCACCAGCAGCCGCAGCAGGGGCATCACCAGCAGGCAGGTGGCCACCACCACGGGCAACCCCAGCAGGTCCTAAACACCGGAAACATCCAGCAGGAGCGCGCGTAAGTCACCGTCTATCTTATCACTGCCACTGGCAATCACAATTTATCACGGAAGCTTTGGGCTAGATGTCATAAATTAACCCTAAATGGCACCTATTCCAAACAGAGTGATTGTGGGTATTTAGCTGTTCCTCCATTTTAAGCCTTACTATTTGCTATTATGTGGGAAGATGTCCATAAATTGACACTACTGACATATTTATTCAGTCAAACTGACTAGTATTTTTCCATCAATTCTCTTTGAATTCATTTGTTAAACGATGTTTTAGATGATTCAAAATAGATAATAACATACTAGGTTTTAATTATATAGATATGGATAAAAGACATTTATATTTGGATCAATCAACGCTTTAGTAAAACAACTAGTATAATTTTTAAAGGTTATTGCGCAGTCCAAAAATGTTTACCTTTTGAATTTGTTGTATTAATTGGCCTGGGAATATTTAGTGGTCTATTTTTTGAGAATAATTTAACATCTAATATCTTGTCCAACATGTCTAGTAGTAACAATTATTTCTTTATTCTAATAAGCAGGTTTTGATCTCGCTATTTTTATTCCCTCCTATTAAATTGAGTTAGTTAATTTATTAAATTTCAGTCACATCCAGGAGCACATGCAGGTGCCCATCGATACGAGCAAGATGTCCGAGGCTGAGTTGCAGTTCCACTACTTCAAGATGCACGATTCGGATAACAACAACAAGCTGGACGGCTGCGAACTGATCAAGTCGCTGATCCATTGGCACGGTAAGACAACCACTACTCCTATTTATCTGGCTAAATGGTTAGATTTGCTACTGTGGTTGCTGTTTTTCGTTTTGTTTGACCCACTTCTCTGTTCTACCTTCTTTGCATATGCGTAATTAAACTGGGCTGTTTCCGGTTATGGTTGTGGTCATGCTCGAATCTCATGCTAATCCATCTCGCATCCGCCATAACAACTCATTGCCACGCCGCACAGAGCAAGGCAGCAAGGAGCAGCCGAACGGCGAGAAGCCGCATGTAGAGGAGAAGGTCTTTTCGGACGAGGAGTTGGTGGCCCTCATTGATCCCATTCTGCAGATGGACGACACCTCGCGCGACGGCTACATCGACTATCCGGAGTTCATCAAGGCGCAGCAAAAGGCCGCCGAGAAGCAGCAGAATCAACAGCAGCAGCCGCAAGACCAACAGCAGCAACAGCAGCAGCCGGTTCATTAGTAGTCACCCAGATCCGTTTAGTTTGCATACCATAACCATGTCCTCGTCCCGTGCTATGTGACGTGCAACTCATACTCCTGTTTTCTGCCCAAAACATCCTGAAATTACGTCGACCACGTCAAAGGTTTTAGCGCACTTCTTTAGTTGAATTCGAATCAAATTTACTTAACATGCTGCAAGCATTCCAATCGGAGACCTTCATTGAACAAACTAATTGTCCTTCTGAGAACTTTTTCAAAAAATTCCCATTTTCGAATAATGAACACGAATCTCTCGAGTGATTTGTGCATTTCCAGCCGCCTCGTTTCGTTTTGTTTTCCATTGTCATAATTTTAGTTACTTTTCGATATGAACTAATTTTTAAGCGCAATTTTAGAGCAGCAAAAAAAACAGACTGATTGTGTAAAAGTTTGTTTTGTACAAAAAAAAAAGAAACAAAAAGCGAAAACTATGCAAAAGAAGAATACCCCGTCTATGTGGAAATCTTTTTGAAACTGAAACCTATAATATAGACGCATGCAACTCTTTGTAAGTAAAGCCGATTTAGCGAATAAAGTCGAATCCAAATCACAGCCGACCGCATATAATCCCTCTATCAAGTAGAAAACTAGATACAAAAATTAATTAGTGGTTTCGGGTGAGCCAAGTTAATAACTTAACCGTGTCTAGTGAACCTGCAAAAGATTGTAACACACCTATTACCATTTCTAGTCAAAGATGATAGCGAGAAACCACCCGTTGGGCACGCGGATGGTCATGCCGAGGGTCAAACCGAGCAACCGGAGGAGCATAAGGCCGGAACAGTTTACACGGACAAAGCCCTGGAGGAAACCATCGACTATGTGCTGAAGTCCATGGATCTGGACAATGATGGATTTGTGGACTGGGCCGAATACCGCAAGACTGAGGCGAATATTGGCAAGGACGACTAGACCAACTTTCATCCCACGAGAGGAGAGCCATAGAACTTGACAAATTGTTGATCTTTTTACACACTTTGCTAGACATAACGATTCTTTTGATTGTCATGTGGTTACAATTTAGTAAACTCCATTGGCCTCTGAAGATTTTCCAATTTTTGTACTTTGCTTAATAAAATAATTCTAAAAAATGCATAATATACTTTTTTTAATGATTATTTGTCGTTGACCCGATATTTAAGGTTAAATGTTATCAGGCGCGAATTTACCTATTCTTTTTACGATTTATATTTGATTTCCATGTAATATAAAAGTAGTCTTGAATTATTTTAAATTCAGATAAAGAAAAAATAAATATTTTACATTTTGGTAATTTGAAATTACAATTAATATTAATATTAAATGATAATATACTTTTTAAAGACTTTATATGTGATTATGGGTCGTTAAATCGACAAAGCACGACCGTCTGAGGTTAAAGGTTATCAGACGTGAGTTTCCATTTTCTTTTTTTTACGATTTATATTATGTAATGTATTCATGTAATGAAAAAATACATGTAATACGAAAAAAAATTTTTTTTTTATTTTGCAATTTCCTATTATCCTTAAAATATTAATTTTCTCTAAATAAATTTCTCCAGGTGTCTATAGCACGAACCCAAAGCTCTAAAAAGCATAAAAGCTGCCTGCCATCGTACGGAATGGCCTGCCATTGAAGAAAAGACTTTCGGTGGCGACGGTACGAAAATCGGTCGCGTTTGTAGATAGGTGAAAACTGAAAATAATATAAACAATCGGTGCTGCATAAAATAGGTTGAGTGCGAGTATTACGCATACGCCGGGTGTGTCGGAATTCGGGATTGCTGAGTAACTCCCGGAATCGCTGCGAAATGTAAGCCAATGGAGTGGTTACGAAAATAAATACACACATACAGAGTGCAGGAGAATAATTATGGATCGCCTGCTAGCCGGTCCCGGGGCCACAAATCGGGTTGCTCGGACGACGCAGCCGGCGATGTTGATTGAAAATAAACAATCCGGCCGGACGGAGAGCTCCAATTGGTGGACCCGATCCACGTGGTCGCGTGCAGCCGGGAATTACGCTCTGCACAAATATTTGCATTGCTCGAATAGCCCAGCATAGTGTGCCATAATATCGATTTTGCCCAGACTGGTGGAATGGGGGTGGGGTTTTACGGGTTGTACAGCGGGTTGTACTTCCGAGTGCTATTCGATTCTCAGGGGGAGATAAGCCGGCTGGGCATGCCATTACTCGGCTGCTCTGCTGGAGTTCCTGTTTTTTGCTGAAACCCCTTAAATAAAGGGTCTCATTATGCACACGCAATAATGCGACGTTGATTCTAATGGCATTGTAATACCAAAATAGCTTATTTCTTACATTATATCATAATGTTGGATTGTGAGGGCTGGCTGTTTGGGGTCAGAAAATTATGCATGCACTTATAATTTAATACAGATTATATTATTTACATCAATAATATTTTAACAATGTGTAATACCCTTTTCTTAATAGCAATACAAATTACCATTTATAATAATGTGAAGCTAATAAGATTACACCTTGCCCTTATAACTTAATACATATTTTATTATTTAAATCAAAAATAGTTAAACAATGTTTAATACCTTTTTTTTTGATAGCAATACAAATTACTTACCATTTATAATAATGTTAAATTAATCCTTGACTAGGAATTTCAATTTTATGCAATTCTATGTTGAATTCTTAGTATAAACTTTATTAGTTCAAGAAAGTTAATATACTTATATTAAGCACTTTATTACTTGATCTCTAGGGCTGCCATGCAGTCTGGCGGAAGACCCCGCGAACGCCTACTTTATGCCTTCCGTGGATGGATTGCCTTTGTGGCCTTCATGGACTTGGGTACGGCTTTTCGTAGCTATATAGAAAGGCGGAGTTTTTTGGGCGACCACAGTGATACACAGTTTATAGAGGGTGAGTACCTGAATCGAATATATTTATGGTATCTCTATAACATGGGTACTTTAACAGGTGACTACACCATATCCAGAATAATTGGGATGTACTGCCTGCTCAAGGCCATCGCTCTAGTCCACTGCACCCTCTACATCCACTACAGACCGTAAGTAATATCCGAAGGGTTCAGATTATAATATTCCTATTGATAAATATATTTTCCTATTAAAGGGTCGTCAGCATGGGCGGTTGCTCCTTAGCACTTACCATGGTCTTCTATGCTACTGAGGCGCTCTACTTTCGCTCTAGCACCATCAACTTCTACGTGATCTTCCCTTGCGTGTTAAATTGTAAGTTATTACAAACTCTTAAAATACCGATAAATTAAAAAAAAATATCCTTTAATCTAGCCATAACTTTATTGGGCCTAATAATAATACCCAAACGACTGAGACTCTGGGAGCCAAACATGGACCTGGATGACGAAAATTCCCAACTTCTGAAGCAGATGACGGGTTTTAAGAGACGACGTGCGAAAAAAACATAATTGAATGTTTGAGAAAATTGAAAAGCAAGAAGGGAAACCAAATTAGTTTCCATTAGCACAGTATTGTGAAGGAATCGCAAATTTTCCGCTTTGGACTGCATTGGTGTGATAGAAATGGCATCAAGTTCATCAATATATACTTAATAGCAATACTGAAAACAACGCCAAATTAGTGATTTTCTACGAACTAGTTACGAAAGGGACGCGATGGTCCCGGAATAAGTCAATTTCTGGCATAATCACTTCAAGACATATGTTGTACTTCCTTTTTATAAACCATATTTATATACATTTAAAAATGTATAGCACAATAGAGTTTTTGCACTTTTAAAAGTTGAAAATCGATATTAGGAATTATTCAAAATTATCAGAGTTAGCACCCAAGTTAAACAATTCAAATCGAAAGGCTTTAAATTTACAAATAAGTTAATAATCATTTTATTTAGTGTTACGTTGGACTTTTCCATTATATATACGGATACAAATATATGGAACATGCTTCCGGATCGATCCTAAAATTAAGCAAACGCATAGTTGAACATTTTATACTCATCACATATGATTAAAAGTTATATACATAGAGAATAACAATAATAGTTTTGTACGCATTATGTAGAGTATGTTTGAAAATAAAATTTGAATTTCCAAAAAATGGGCTTACATTTTATTTTTATTGGGAATGGGCGCAATAACTCTTTAAATATTATTAAACATTTTAATTGGGTTTTTGATTTATTTGATAAAATAACTTTAGCCTCAAAAACATTTGAAAATTGCGAATTTTTAAAACAACGATACTATCGATACTTATCCGTGACACCCACCAGACTAGCGGGCACAACCACCACAACAACTGCAAGTTAAGATAACAACGCTGGGAGCCATTCTAGGTTAACGCGCCAGGAATTTGTTTTGTTTTAATTTCGTTTTGTTTTGGTGATTGCAGCTTGTAAAGTTAATTGTTCACTATGTATAAGAGGTTTAAGAAACGCACGCAGAAGGCCCTCAACACGATCGATGAAAATACGACCATAAAAGTGTCCGTAAGTGGATTTATTTGCGACAGCCAACTTTGAAGACAGAACTCCCCTCATCAAAATATTTATTTCAGCGCCTGGCGGAGACGACAACGAATGTCTCCGTGGAATCTGCAGCCTCCGGGAGCGAGGAGAACATACCCGCCTCGCAGGAGCACACGCAGCGCTTCCTCTCCCAGCACAGTGCCATCCTGGCCGCCACTTTGGGCCGCACCCAATCCTCCAGTCGGAACATTGCGACCCTCTCCCGGCAGCCGAACAACTTCTTCGAACTGGTCCTCATCCGTGCCGGTGTCCAGTTGGACCAGGGCGACAGCCTGGTTCTCTCCTGCGACCATGTCTCCATAGTCTCCAAGTTGCGGGACATCTTCATGAGTGCCTCCTCGTACACGGATAAGTTGGAAACCTTTAAGACTGGCCTAAATGCAGCCATGGCGCCCAGTTCCAAGCTGGTGCAGAAGCTCCTAACCGGCTGCACTGTGGACGCCGCTGGCGAGGAGCAGATCTACCAGTCGCAGAACAGCATGTTCATGAACTTCCTGATGATCGACTTCATGCGGGATCCCTGCGTGGAGGTGCTGCTGAACAAGATCGAGGAGGTGGCCACCGCGGATCGAGTTGTTTTGGGAAAGGCAGCCATTCCAATGCCTCTACTGCCCCTGATGCTCACCCAACTGCGCTACCTGACCGTTTCGCACAAGGTGGAGATCTACGGCCGCATCGAGGGCATCTTCAACAGGGCCACGGAATCGGCCAAGCTGGACATCATAGCTAATGCAGAGTTAATACTGGATGCCAGTATGCACGATGAGTTTGTTGAGCTACTCAAGTGAGTAAAAAATGTTGGTCTGCAAAAGTACAATTAAAATGTAACAAAAATCTAGTACTAGATACATAAATAGAAGAATTACTGAGAAGTATAGCACATCTCCCTAGTTTTCTGCTTGCTAAGATCCTATTATATTAATTTTTTCTTTGCAGCATTAACTATTCCAGCACTGAAGACCTCTTTCAGATGACCACAGTGCAAACCCTGAGCAATTTATCGCTTTCAGACAGAACTCAAGCTAAGTTGCGACTGCGCATTCTAGAGTTTGCTACAAATGGGCACTGTCCCGATACGGTAACTGCATAAAGTGACTGTTATTCTTCTTTTAATCTTACCTTTCCTTAATTTAGACCTTGCCTCATCTCATCAGGCTTCTGCTTAACATTTTGAAAATGGACACAGATGACAGTGTGCGCGATGTAAGATACTTCCTTCTTTTCCAAAATAATCTTGCTAAGCATTCCTTTAATTGCAGTTGATAGGCAGCCTGCGGGAAATGTTCAACTGGCGGCATACAGCTCATAGGGATGAAAACTCGGCCACAACCGAAAGGAAAAAGTCCCAGCTTGAACTTTTTGGCTTCCTGGAACTTGGCTTGATACGGTCTAAAAGATTCTATCAAGCGTTCCAAAGGTCCTCTGCTAGTTTGTCTGCTGAAGAATTTACGTAAGTCCAAGAAATAAATTATATAAAATTTCAGTATTTAAATTATAAATAATTCCTTTTTTCAGTTCCTTCGATCTGATTGTTTTGCTTTTGTTGATACACGTTAATGAAGATAATTCATTGTACATAGAAAATATTGTAAGTAACCTGTATTTTTAATTTATTAACTGAGTGTACTATAAATTATTTTAACAGCTTCGTCGTCGCATTAAACTGGAGCATATTACTGTGAATATTTTGGAGGAAGTAAGACTGCACTATAGACACATCCTGGAGCAACATATAAGCCCACTGATGAATATCCTGCACGACTTTATGCGCGAAAAAAATCGCACCGTGTCCGATTTTGCCAAGTCTTCGTACAGGTGAATTGAGATCTCCAGAAAAATGTAATAAAATTAAGCTCACTCTTATTTCTTCCTTTCTTTTGCAGCATTCTTTTTAAGATTTTTAATTCGATACAGAAAAATATTCTAAAGAAACTGCTGGAACTCACCTGTGACAAATCATCGCCTCACCTGACGACAATGGCATTGGAATTGCTTCGTGAGCTGCAGCGCAAGAGCGCTAAGGATGTTCAGAATTGTGCGACCCTTCTTATTCCGATGTTGGATAGGATCAGCGATCTGACTCTGACACAAACTCGCGTCGCTATGGATCTGCTATGCCACGTGGCCTTTCCAGATCCCAAGCTATCGGCCTGTCTGCAGCTTCAAGAGCAAGTCGATATGGTGGTGAAGAAGCAGCTAATAAATTCAACTGATAATATAAAAAAACAGGGCATAATTGGCTGCGTGCAGCTCATCGATGCAATGGCTCGAATAGAAAATAATGCCGCAGAGCACGACGATTCACTAACCAGCGTGGAAAACGTGGATTCATTGCCCGATGGTCGAGGCAAAATGGCCGCTAACTTAATCAGTAAATAAAATATAATAATTTACTAAACCCTTTATACTAATATCTCCCTCAAACAGTTCGCACCGAGTCGTCCATTGGAAATAGTGTCGAGTCTTTGGCCCTGTTCTATGAAGAACTGGCTACGGTTTTCAATCAGCGCAATGACGGAACTTCCGCCTGCGACTTGGACTACCATTTTATTGCCTGGGCCTGCGACGTAGTGACCTTTCGCTTTCAGGCTAGCTTTGTTACCGAAGATGTGCCAGAGACGATAAAGTATGTTATGGGTATTAAAAACAAACTCTGCTAACAGTAAATGATTTGCAGGGGAATTAAATTGGAATATCAAATGAACATTAACGAACTAGACGACACAAATGCCAACACTGAATCGGATGTCCTTAACATTGGCATAAATATATCCAAATTGGTTCTATCACCCAAAGCCAAGTAAGTTTACTAGTATTTATCATTAATTTAATAAATAATATTTTTCCAATATTTGTAGAGCTTGCGATTCCATTTACGTGCTGGCGCCTTTGTTCAACTGCGTAAGGGTGCTGTATAAACACCGCCATCATGACAGCCTAGAAGGCATCAATGCCTTGCTGGGCTGTGCCATTGTATTGCCCTCATTCTTCGAGGACGATAACTATCTGGCCGTCTTTGACAACTTTGAGGCGGAGCAGCAAAAGGACGTTCTCAGCATTTATTTCCACACCGTCAACTGGATGCGGGTGTCGATCAGTGCCTTTGCATCGCAACGCGATCCCGCCACTCGGCGTCGGGTCCTCTCTAGACTCGGGGAATTGATACGGATCGAGCAGAGGATTAAGCCGCTCCTGGCTAGAGCACCAATAGACTTTGTAGCCCCGCCATACCAATTCCTGACCAACGCCAAGCATTCGGTTGTCGGCCAGAAACGTCAAGGAGCCAAAGCTGCCGCCAAATTCAATGCAACTGCAGCCGAACCGGACCTAAGTGGAAACCAAACTTCGATTGCTGATTTTACAATTAAGGTTGGACCCTGCAAGGCCATTAAAACCAAGATAGATTTTGAGCAGATGTATGGGCCGCGCGAGAGGTACAGGCCAATGGAAGTGGAAATCATAATGCTGTTGGTCGAGCAGAAGTTTGTCCTGAATCACCAGCTAGAGAAGGAGCAAGTTGGTGAGTTTCTGGGTCTCCAGGAGCTACGTTTCCTGCTGGAGGACATGGTCCAGAAACTGGAAGCAGCAGTCCTTCGTCAGCAGGATTCATCGGATGCGGATAGCTTCAGGCCCCATTTGGCCAAGCCAGAGGATTTCATATGCGACTTACTTCCCTGTCTACATGAGGTGAACAATCACCTAAGCACTCTCGCAGAAGCCATCGACAAAGAGCTAACGACTGTCAATCATGTGTACAGTAATCTGGATCTATTTAAGGAGCAATTCAACTATATTAAGACCTGCTTTGGGCTGTGTGTTCGACTATTTGCCCTGTACTTCGCCTGGAGCGAGTGGGCCGATAAGTCGCAGGCTGAACTGCTCCATAGTAAGCTACTCCCATTTCTTTTTAATCTACTATATTTAATGCCTTTTCCTTTGTAGAATCTCTGCTTAAACTGCAGCCCAAGGCACAGTGGAAAAAACTCGAGAAACAAACTGTTCCCCAGCTGGCCACCCTGACTTTCCAATACTTTTTAAAGTATGAAAAGTCTGTGTTAAATCTTAGTACTGCGGTTCAGCTTCATCGGTTGTTGGGTAGCTTGTTAAAGGTGGGAAGTTCACAAAACGACGCGAGCCAGCCGAGATTCCAGCAAGCCGAAGAATTACGTAAGTAGAAACAATGAAATATGTATTGAGTTTTCTATAACCTTTCTTTGTTCAGGTTTAATGTGTGGCAAGCTGCTGCGTCGTAAGTGGTTCCACTACTCTGGTACTTTGGACAAAGGCGGACAGTGTAACATCTATTTGGACGAGCTGGTCAAGGGATTCCTTAAAAAGTCGACAACCGGAAATCAAACGGAACTCTTAAACGAGCTGGTTAAACAATGCAGTATTCTCAATACAAAGGACAAAGCCCTGAGTTCCTTTCCCAACTTTAAAAAGTAAGAAAACCTCCGTCAATAATATGATTTATTAATGCTTTATGTTCGCAGGGCCAACTTCCCTTTGCTCTTTCGTGGCCTGTGCGAGGTGCTAATTCACTCGCTCAGTGGCCAAGTCAGCGTGGACAAGCGTGGGGATAGACTGAAACTTTGGGAGTCTACGGTGGAATTGTTAAATGGCTTGCTCAGCATTGTGCAGCAGGTGGAACAGCCTCGAAATTTCGGACTGTTTCTAAAGCACTCCCTGCTATTCCTTAAGCTGCTCCTCCAGCACGGCATGTCTGCACTGGAGTCCATTGTACGGGATGATCCAGAAAGGCTTATAAGGTTTTTGCACGAGCTCCAAAAGGTGACGCGGTTCCTACACCAACTCTGCTGCCATTCCAAGACCATTAAAATCACAGCCATCATCAGCTATATTCCCAGTCTCCGAGAGACGATTGAGACGCTGGTTTTCCGGGTGAAAGCCCTGCTGGCTGCCAACAACTGTCACTCTGCTTTTCACATGGGAAATATGATAAACAGGGATCTCCACGGAGATTCTATAATCACGCCATCCAGTTCGTTTGTCGACGAGGAGAACAGCGACGAGGAAATACCTGCTGATGATACCAGCGTAGATGAAACTGTGCTGGGCGATGACATGGGCATCACCACCGCTAGCGTCAGCACAAGGCCGAGTGATGGAAGCCGACGAAGCAAGTCCTCGTCCCGCAGCAAATGCTTTTGAATACCCCCTCATGTTTTAACGATTTCAAATAAATCATTTGTTTGGACCAAAGTGTCGATGTTTCGTGTGTTTAATCTAGAATTGAGCAGACCACGATCTTTGCATTCTTTATTTATTTCATTTTTTATTATCTGGATGCAATTTTATTTAATTTTCGTATTACAAATAATAACAAATGTATGTATATCAAATATTTTAGTACAATATGCTTCTTTTCTCACTTTTATTCTCTTCGTTAACAATAATTGTTTATTAAGACGTAAAAGTTGTTCTCCCATTTTTCTCACATTCGGCCTTCCTCTACGATGAATTCTGATTGTTTTTATTATTTAATTTCCATTTGTTCTTTTTATCTCGTAATAATTGGCGACGTTACGTTCACGGTTTATGAATCCCTTTCATACGTGTGGTATGTATGCAAATGTTTTGTGATGTATGTATATCAATAGGTAGTTTATAAAAGAGTTTTTAAAATCAATCAATTATAAAATGGTTATATATGTAATTAAAAGAGCAAAGAAAACACACACAAACTATAAATTTAATAGTAAAACAAAAATGGTCTAAGCGAAGTTAATCCTAACGTGTGTGTATGTGTTTGAAACAGATATTGTCCTCATACAAATCATGTTCTTTTTTCGTGTATTAAAGAAGAAACAATCTTGGAAACTTTCCAAAGGTATCAGATCCTTGCATCCACTGCCACTGTCCTTCATCTTTCTTTATAAACAGTTGCGCTTGCTTAAGCCGATTCTTGAAATATACATGAAAAGATTTTGCTTGCTGAAAAGGTTCGAAGAGATAATTTGGAATAGGTCGAAATAATTTGTATATTTCAATTTACAATACGATCTTGTTTTTGATTTATTAATTTTTATTGTTTTCTTTATTTGCCAATTTTTCAAAACTTAAAACATTTTACACAAATTAATTTTAAAAATTTTTAATACGTACGCAGTCTGTTTAAAAGTAAAGTTAGATTATACACTCCTACGCCTACATATACATTATATACTCAAATATATATATTTATAGAGAAAGATATATATTTATTGTATATATAGATTTAGTAATTATGATTAAATCTTGCCTTTGCATCATCACAATTCATGTAAAGTTTTTCATTTTTTTCGCTCAGTTTCCATGCGCAGTTTGCAATTTTGTTGTCCACTTTGCTTTCTTTCATGATTCCTTTCGACTTTATTTCTATTTTATTTTCAGTATTGTGTTGCTTTTGTTGAAGGTTGAAATTTACACACGTATACAGTTATTGTTGTTGTTATTAGATCAAAGATAAATTTTGCTTGCGCTCCTCTTCACAATACACAAAAATTTTAAACCAATTAAACAGCTAAACAAATAAGTTCATTAAGTATTTAACATTAGTGATTTATGTTAGGTCGTAAAAATATTTTGCTAAAAATTATTATTCATAGTTTAATATATATAACATACTATTGAAAACTTAAGCGCACAAACAAAACTAAATATTCAAATTAAAAACTAATTTTGCCAAACGTTTTTGCTTTCCCGAAAAATTAAAACAAAAATTACAAATTACAATATTTAACACAATTAGGGGTGTTGGGGGTAAAGGTCGAGGGTTGGGTGGGGGTTGTAGGTAAATTTTAGGCTTCCAAAGAAATGGTTTCTAAATAACGGCACATAATTTTGGTAAAAATTTCATTCTCAATTTTTGAATCGACGAAATCGGCTAGGCTAACTTTAACGGATTGTGTAACAATTTGCCAATCGGTTTATAGATTTAGTTTAGTTTTAGTTTACAATAGAAAAAACACATTAACAATAAAAACTTACAAATTAAATTACAAATTTAAAACAATATAAAATCAGTACAGTTATCGAATTAAACAAATCGTTAAAATTAATTATATTTATATATTTGCAATTTGAATTGGGTTCAAAGGTTTTAAGTCACCAAATGTGGAAATTTCTAGGGCGAAAAATCGAAAATTTTGCATGCAAAAAGACGCGGCGTTATAGAATTTTCATAATTCACTTCCTTATCAAATTAATTTATTTGTTGTGTTTGTGTGTGTTTAAAGAAAAAAAATTATAAAAGTGTTAAAATTATTATCTCCTTTCTTTTTCGAAGGCAACAATCAATTGCAATTGCGTGAAATGCTCTCTCAATAAAAAGGTCAAATATTTAAGGAAATTCATAGGGAAACTTATCAAAAATAAAAAATGGGTAAATATTTTAGTAATTTTTTTTCTCTTGTTATTGTAGTTAGAAAATGGCGCACACTTCTCATCCCCTACAACGACAGTTTACTTTACTTTAATAATTATGTGTATATGTGTGTGTGAGTGTATGTATGTGAGTGTTACTAAATTTAAGCTTAACTATGGTCATTTAGAATTTGTTGTATATATTCTCTTATTGTTTGTGGCTAATATTATGTATTTAAAGTTCTTTGCTGGTTTGCAAATTTTGCGCAAGTTTTAATTCATGTTTTTTTTAATTCATTACTTCGTTTTTCTTTTATTTTTTACTTTAGGCAACTGCTTGGTGTGTGTGTCTGTGTATGTGTATTTTTAAATTTAAAAAAAGTTATTGTTTTTAGGCTTATGCTGAACAATGTTCATAGATACGTTTTAAAACACACGCGTCCTTTATCAACTGCCAACAGTTTGTATTTTGCTTTATACTTGAGTTCAAAATTGGAAGTATTCTTTCGTTAGTTTAAAACTAATTTATATATTTTTGTTTTATACATTTATATATATTAATTAACTTTTTGCTTTACTTGAGATCTAGCAATAGCGGAAACGTAAACGACAGAATTTTTGTTCAACCAAACAATTTTTCGTTAAAATTTTGCAAAGTAGAAAAAAAACGGGCAAGTTTTTGTTTCAATAATTTTCCCTACATAAACGTATTTTGACACGTGTGTGGCGTTTTATTTTTTTAGGCATGGAGTTAGTTAAGTTTTTTGCAAGTCAGCTTGATATATTCATTACTTTAGCTTAGGGCTGTGTTCTCTTCCGTATTATCTGTGTGCGTAGCAGTTATAGATGATGAGTAAAGGAAAGTGGGGAAAAAGAGTTTAATCTGAATTCGATATTAGATAAGTGGATTTTAAATAGAATTTTAGTTCTTCTGCTAATTTGCACTTGAGCGTTGGCTAATTGATTTTATAGTTTTAGTTATCTTTGCTTTATCCAACATTAAGCACGATTCGATCGTTCAATCGTACTCGTTACAAGTGTTAATATTAAGTATGCGTTATTGTTATTAAAATTCATAATCAATTTTATTATTAGGCTCATTACTTTTACTGTTTGTGATGTGTTGTCTCCGCGTCAGTGTGTTCTCTTCCTAATTCGTTGCTTCGATTTGCAGACACTAGTCAAATTTCTTGTTGATTTGCGATTTAAATCTGCTTATCAGTATTATCAGTGAGTTTTAAGTGTAGTTTTGTATGTGTGCAATTACTTAGCTCTACATATTTTTTTCTTTTTTTACTTCTGACAGATAATTGATTTGAAGTTGCCTAAAACTTACGTTGTTAAAAAATAGTTTGTTTTCGAATTTATGCAGAAAGTCTTGCCGGTTGCAGTCGCCAGTCGCATTATATAACAATGCCGGCTGCGTTTTAATTTTTGTATTTGCTTATCGTTCTCATATCAACTCATTCAATCTAATTAATAATTTGTTTTTTCTTTTTTCTTTATTTTTGTCAGTCAATGTTTCCTCACTAAGCTTTGCTTTTCAACTTGAATTGTGTTTCTTGGTGTTCTTAGAATATTAAACAGCTTTTCAATTCATCTGAGCTTGATCTCGTGTATATATGTCTGGGATTTCCATATGTCTTCGGCTTCAGCGCTTGCCAGCTTTCCATTGGCTATATACAAAAGAAGAAATCGCTTGTCTAAAATTGGCTTTTCACTTGCTATTTTTGTAATGCCCATGTAAATATTGTAAAAGGTTTCGAGTCGAATTGGTTTTGAATTTGGTTGTTTACGCTTTTTCAATGTATAAAAGGGGTGCTACATGCTGCTTAAGATTTAAAATCAATCTGTTTGGGCTTAGACTGCTCTCTCTATATAGTTATAGATAAATATATTTAATATATTTTGTTTGTAATTTTCTTATAGGTTTTGCTATATATGCTCAATTATTGTTTCAATTTCAATTTCGAGTTAAAAACGCTATGAGACAAATTTCCTTATACTTTTTGTTGTGAACTTTTAAAACGACTTGACTTTGGTTTATCTAAGTTGTGAGGCTGATGCTTTTAAAAATTGTTTTGGGCAAATCTGCTAAACTTGTTTCGCTAAATGAAAGGTTTTCGTTTAAAATGCTCTCGCTGCAAAGGCTATTTAAGTGATTACATACAATACATATACTCTACTCGACATATTTGTTGCTGCTATTGCTGATTTCTTGATTTCTTGACTTGTTATTATAGTTATTTAGAGGGACGCAATCTACGGCGTTCATAGCAAAAAAACTAAGATCGAAACGAGTCGCTAAACAATGCTTTTGAATTGTGGCTAATTGTATTTCTTATACCTTATATAGTTTGTTGAAATTAAATTTATTGCTTTTAAGATTGGTTGCTATTATTTTTTGGGTTTTTTTTTTACTATGACGCGAAGGATTCTTTTCCAGGATGTCGCTTGGAGAATATTATTATTTGTGGCTGTAACTTCCTGGTGTGGCTGCTGTTGTCGTTAATGATGCTTTTAATTGATTTCAATTGGGTTGCTGTGTGGTTTTAACTCCATGCCGAAAACGTATCCATGTACCACTGTTCACCATTGGTGCCTAAAGGTTGCTGTGGTAGCGGTAAACTGCCCCAACTGCCGCCATTTCCTATTAAACCGCTCGGGTAACGTCGCTTAACATCTGCCGGATTTTGGTGACCTCCATCGAACTTACGTTTACCGACTACTGCAGATTGGTGACCGCAATCGGTGGATGGTTGGAGGTTTTTTTGGATGGCATTCGGTTGTTTTTGGTGTGCGTTGAGTGTTGGTTTTTTTTTGGGTGGGTGGTGAAGGTGTTTTTCGAAAGAAAAAAAAGAGAAAGAGAGTTAAAAATGGTGTTAATACAAAAATGGTTCAAAGTTGTTGCTATTATTTCTTTGTTTTGGTAGTTGGTTGTTTTTGATTGGATTAAGTTCAACTGGTCTATGGTTCGAATGGGGGTTGTCTTGACGTTGTATTAGTTATTTTAGTAGCACCATTTTAATGATTTTGTCCATTTTGATTTCGCTTTGTAAGCAGTAGTAGTTACTGGTAGTAGTAAATGAGGGGGCGAGACGGTCGGTTGTGTTTTTTCCAAAAATATTAAAGACAACACATTTTGATCATTTGTTCGTTTAATTTATCTCATCATTGGTTTTACACATCACAAATCGGGGAAATCGTGTTAAATCGACATAACGCCAGGGACTTGGGGACATGATTACATGTACAAATATATATTGTGTTGTGTGTGATTGTGATGTTAAAGGTGCTGAGTATATTCGTGTTTGTGTGGGGAGTTAACAATTACCAAATTGGTTTTTTGTAAGTAAAACATTGTACATGATATTATCGCCTGACAAGGAACATGGAACATTTAGTACAGCTAACAGTATGGGTAGCGGCGATAACCGGGACGAGGTTATACAATTACAAAAAATGATCTTCCGCCAGATCGATGATGAATAACAGAGCGCTGTACTTGAAAGGTTCGGGATTCATATGTGAAATGGGCCTTGGCAAGAGTGTGCGGGGATGGGGTTTGTCCATTCCTAATTTGAAATTTTGAATTTAGCAAGGACTTCTTTCGGTTGCTTGACGGCGGAACGTTCTGTTCACAGGGCTGAACTGATCTGATCTGGCGCTAATGATTTTGATGCAGCATCTTCTTGAATGCGACAGATGAGTGATGTGAGTGTTCTTGAATTTGTCCTCGAATGCCAATGACGAGTTTCTTCGTTTGGATTTGATTTTGAAAAACAAAAAAAAAATGATGATATATATTCACTTCGAATATATAGATGTATGGGGTGTGGTGTTCTTGGGACGGATTGAATTTGGCTTATTCGGACTTCCGCTTGGATTTCTTAGCTTTTTCGGGCCGAGACGACTTGGATTTGTGGGAATGCTTCTTGGACTTGTGTGACTTGGTTTTGCTATGTGAGGACCTATGGACTTTACGCTTCTTGGTCGGAGAGCGACTCTTGTCGCTGACCGAGGAGGTGATCGATGTGCTACGCTTAGTTGCCCTCCATAAATGTCTTGAGTGCAGCTCCAGCTAGAAACAGATTTAGGTTTTTGGTTTTTTTTTTTTTTTTTTGGTTTTTGCATTCATTTTTAGTTTTTTTTGGGGTGTGTATTTCTTTTTTTTTCGCTGACAAAGCGCTTGTTTGTATATGGTAATGAGCATGTGTGTGTGAAGCATTCTAACAGTAAATAAAAACGAGTCTTCCTTGAAAGACAAAAAGTATCTACGAATACAGCCACAAAAATGTAAAGCGTGTTCAAAACGGAAGCAGGTGATCGGGCGGTGGGTGGTGGAGTTTCGTGTTTTTTTTTTGGGTGTGTGTGGATTAGGTGCTTCTTGGGGTCATCACGCTTTTGCCAGATCGTGTTAGGCAACCCACATTACTGGGGCAAAAGCGTGATCTGGTTGGGGGTTCTCCGCTATATTTATGTATATAGATACAAGTATAGATTCCATTGACAACAAATTATAACAAAAATTGGTTGGTGTGTGTGCGTGTTGTAAACATAATACACGAATCGATTAGTATTTGTTTATACGTAAAATAAATAAAAACGATCTCAGTTGGTTTTGGTGTCACCCTGTGTGTGAATATGATATGTATGAAATGTTAAAGGGTGGTTATATTATACATATATAAGGTCATATTGGTATACATGTGTGTATAGGTTACTAGACTATTTTTGTATATTTTTTGTTGTTTTTTTTTTGGGCTTTGCAAAGCATGATGGATAATTAATTAACAAGACTCACAATTCGATATACATAAAATCACACAAAATATTATATGTATATTGTTAAAGTAATGGGCTAGAATATAAATAATGTATAAATAAAGGTTTTCATATATTTAGATTTGTGCAATCGCAATCGATCAGTTCAATCTTGAAACGCGTATCATTTGTATAAGTATATTATTTATTAGCTGGTGGCCAACAAATCATCGCGGGGTAGAAAAAAAACACAAAAAATTATATACACGTACGTCAAAATTTTGGATGGGTTTCTTTTTTCGATGGGTGTTTGCGGTTCGGGGGTTAGGGACAAACATAGATATTAATCGGATCAGAGATGTGTGCGAATAATGCCTCAGCTCTTCCCACACGACTCTTCGACTCTCTATGGCGCTTAATTAGTAGGTGACAATAGATTCTCTGTGCTTGGGTGTTTGTGGGACATAAATACTAATCGATTCATAAACGTTTACAGACATTGCTCATATATAGTAGTTAGGTACATATCCAAGACAATATGCGTATAAACAATTACATAATTTGTTATAATGGCTTTCCATATACATAGGCGATGTTCGATTGTGTGTGTGTGTGTGAGGGTGGGTTGGTTTCTGTTTTTAATGGGCGTTTCTGTCAATTGCTGCTTACAATTGGAGATGAGAAAAAACCAAAGACATGCATCAAAAAAATGTAGCATACATCTCAGCGTTTAAAGAGAAAAAATTAAAAATCGTAATCACAATCGTAAGCAGCAAGAGCTCAACTACTTGGATCACAAATGAACATTTAAGAAGAAAAGTATTAATATTGGATAATGGAATTCAAAAAAAAATAATTAAAGATGGGTAAAACTTTACAACATTTAGAACAGTTACAAATGCGATACACACGACATTGAAGTGACCTTTTTTGGGGGATGGGTAGGGGTTTTTCACACTATATTAAAATCTCTCGTTATGTTCGTTTTTGTGTTTTGTGCGCGTGATGGGTGTTGTGTGTGTGTTCTTAGGGTGTGGGTGGTATATCATGTATGCATGTTTACATTTTTACTTGTCTTTACTTATTAATTTATATGAATTCGACTTTTGCAATGTACACATATATATTCTCTCAAGTTTGTCGCTGTTGTTGGTTTGATTATGCAGTTTTCACTTGGCGCAGGTTGTTGGGATTGTTTTTTGGATTCGATTCGGTTGGATTTGATTTGGTTTGAATTTGATTGGTTTGTTTTTTCTTTTTGTTGGTTGGTTTTGATTTTGGTTTTGGTATTTTTGTTGTGGTGTATTTATTGAGATACGAGAGTACGTTCTTTGTGTTTTTGTTGAGCTCACCTGGTAAATTTTGTAGCGGCTTGACGTGCTGGGTGCCACGAACGCTGGGACGCGTTGGCACCACCCCACGGACCCCCCCGGTTGCTGCCGGCGCCCCCTGACCGGTGGCCCCCCGCTGAGCTACCGCCGCCGCCGCCTGTCCCGCCGCCGCTGCCGCTGCCGCCGCCTGTGGCGCTGTTTGGGCCCCCAGACGACTGATGCTGCCACGTTGGCCAACGACTCTGCCACGCGGCACTGTGATTCCATGCCCACGACCAACTCCCTACACGTCCACATATCCACGTCCACATCATCATCATCATTGTGATCACATTTCAATGGCACAGTGGTTGCGGCGTCATCATTATCGATCATCATCACATCGTCATCGTCATAATTGCATGCATTAGTTGCGTTTTGTGGGGTGGTGTGGGTGTGTGTGTATGTACGTGTACGTGGAGTTTCGAGTGTGTGTGTGTGTGGGGGTGGTGGGTGGTTCGAGAGCGTGTTTTATGCATTTCCAGATTCGTGTTTCCATTTTCCATCATTTTCGGTTATCCATCGGTCGTTGGTTTGGTTTTGCATTTTGATTTCGTTTTTGATTTCAGTTTTTCAGGTTTCGAGATTTTTGTTCGAATTTCAATTTGCGTTTACAATTTTTCAATAGTATTAGCATTGTTTTTCATACATAATTGAATGTGTTTGTATATATATGGATCGCCAAGATAATTGTCAAATTTTTGGTCATTTCAAATTTCGAATTGAACGAAAGAGTAAGCAAAATAAAAGTACGTTTTTGAATTGATTTGGAATTTTGATTTGTCGAATCGATGAGAATTTCGAATTTGGAGCGGTTGCGTTTTCGGAAAGGGGGGAGGTCAGAAAAGAGTTTTGTTTTTGGTTTTTTGAATCGAAAGGTTAACGATTTTGTTTTAGATTTGGTCGTTTGGTTGGTGGTTGATTTTCGTTTTGATTTTGATTAGGTTGGTGGCAGAGATAGAATTTGTAATTTTAATGTGGGTTTTTTTTGGTTTTGACGAACATATATATAATTTTTTTTTTCAAGATTTGTTGTTTTTTGTCATATTGTACCGAAAAACAAATGAATTGTTTGTATATAGATAAGTATATAACAAGAACACATAAAAAGAAAGAAAAGAAAAGAAAAAAATCGAAATAAACGCGTTAGATTCTTGGTGTAAAAACTGTTTGTTTGATTGTACATACACGATATGTAATGTATGCATATAAAGTATGTATTATTTATATAGAAATTACTAAGATGTATATAGATTGTTCTCTGTATTATGTGTAAACTGAGTGAGCATTTAACTAGTCAATTGGGTATTATAATATACTTATAACAACGGATCTGGGGCGCTTGAAACGTTCAAGTCCAAGCAACAAAAGTTTTGCCTCTTGCGATTGACACAATATTCAAAAAATAACTTTACCATGTTTGTAAATTTGTTTTATAATTTAACTAAAAAGAGTACAATAAGCGTAATGCGGTTAATTGGTTTAAACATTAAAGCGTTTGCGTTGATACAAAATATAAATATTTTAAGTTTAACATAAAGCGACGCACACTTGGGTGCGCAATGGTAATTAAAACGAAGCTTCGCTTAATTGCTAAAAATTAATTAAAATTAAAACGTCAGCACGTCGTGTTCAGCTCATAAATATATTATTAATGGTTATATTCAGCCTGGCGATATGGATGGTGCAATTAAAACATAAATAAATAAGCAGGTAGGGTATACGTACAAGCAAAGCATAAGTTAAGCGTAATAAAGCACCGTTTGTTAATTTTTGCGATTGCGGCGTGGCGCGTCGAGTCCTTAAATTACTGGATGTTTCCATGGGTAAAGCGAAAACAAGGCGAAACAAGCAACAACAAATAAAATCCTTTTTCCGGCAATGGGCGTGCACGTGTTTCTGTGTCTGTGGGTGGTGGTGTAGTGTGGGCGTGGGCGTGGGTTTGGGTGAATAGTGGGTGGTGTTTGGTGGAATTTGGCAGCAAGAGACGTGCAAATTTTGACTTCATATAAACGAAACAAAGAGAACATATTTTTGGGGAAATTAAAGCCAAATGATGAAGCGTTTTTGTTTTTCGGAAATAAATCAAATACAAAAAAATACGAAATAAACTAACTACAAGACAGGAAGGCAATCAACTGAGGGCATCTCTAAATCAAAGTAAGTATTCAAATCAAAACGAACTCTACAAATCTTGTGTTTCTGTGTGCGTTGTGTTTTCTCATTGTTCTTCGAATTGTACACTCCGATTCGATGGGGTCTAATATAAGATAAGATACTTTTCTTTCGATATACAAAAAACGCACCATAACGCCCGTCGAACCACTGGGACCACTGGTCGATCCTCTGGCCGATCGCTGACCACTGGCCAGCGGAGAGTTCTGCGAGCCGCCGGCCGAGAGCGGAACCACCGAACTGCCGGCCACACTCGCTCCGCCCCCACTGCTCCCGGTGGTGGTGGCGCCACCCGGGTACTCATAGTAGTTGTAATCCTGATCGTACGAGCGGTACAGCTCCTCGTAGAACGACTCGTTGGCATAGGCCCCTTGGCGATAGTCCGAGAAACCGAAATAGTCGTAATCGTAGTCTGGTAGGTAGTAGGTAGGTTGGTTGGCATTAGGATTAGGTTCGGGATTCTAAATGGGCTACGATATACGGGGGAGACCTTCTCTATAGAGAGCCTAAGCCTAAACACCTCCCTTGATATTTGATATATCATTATGCTGCCAATTCACTTTGCCAATGTGTTCAACGAATCGGGCGCGTACTGTGACGCAACAATTAAAACTCGAGGGGGGGTAATATATAGATGGATTGGTGGTTTTGTCTGTGGTTGTTGTTGGGTGGTCTTGGTGGTTTTTACACACGCGAATCGGTATGCGACTTAAGTAGATGAGACTTAGGGTTACTTACCGGTGATATAACATCAAACAGTATACAGGGTGCTTAACATTCGCTACACAGAGAACACAATTGCAACATTTAATTATCGTAAACAACTATGGACAACGTTTAAGGATTTAATGTCTAATGTCTATGCTTTATGATTTGAGAGTATGTGTTATTTTTGATGCCCTGCACTTGGCGACACAGAGAGTTCGGATCGGAGGGATGGGGAGAGTCGAAGATAGGTTACTTATAAAACCATAATAATAACTGGACAACATCGATAAGGAAACAAAACACACGGACATGCAAATAAACCAGGGATAATAATTATAGTGGAGTTACATAAACAGAGCATTGACATATAACTTGCAAATGCGAGAGTATCGGAAAGAAAGAAACAACGTTTACGATTAGTCAAAGATGGGGAAAGTAATAGAAATCAGTGAGAAATGGTTATATTCAAGTTACTTCAATTGATTGCCAATGGTCAGAGATCTTAAGGTTAGTGGGTTGGTTGGTTGGTTAATCTCGATCTAGCTGGATACGTTTTCTCACTCGACTTTGGGACTCAGGGGCAGTGCTAAGCGTGACTTTGGGGCTTTTGGGTGAGAGTGAAAGTGAGTGTGAGGGTGTGCTTGTGTGTGGTTCGTCTGTAGTTTTGTTATTTTTAGGGACGATTATACAAATGTTAGTGGATATAGCGCGCGCTTTCTAAACCTTAAATAACTTAAATGATGAGGCGAGGAAAAACAATAATCAAGATAAACAGAGGGTAACAAAACGTTGCGTTCGATGGCAGACATGATGATATTGATATCGTTCAACTTAAGGCTTAAACTTCAGACCGGATTAGTGTTAGGTTGTTGGTTCAGTAGCTGCTGCGTTTCGGTTAGACTTTCGAACTAAAAACAAACCGACAAGTTACAAGAGTACTCGATCAATACGCTATGTGTGTGTGTGTGGGTGTATGAGTGGTGTTAGTGTGGTGTGTGTGTGTGAGTGTGCCTAACAACTTGGCTAATTGACTACGATAACTAAACCAAATTAACAAAAGTTATAAAGTATTTTTTCTCAATTGTGTAGAGTCCCGAAAATGAAGGCGCTTGCGGCCTCCTCATCTCCTCATCAACATCATCAAGATGATTATCATAGCTATGCACTATGGCTAGCTATGCATATACATACAGATACAGATACAGAGACATCTAGAACGCATCCGAAGGACACGGATATGGCTCTCAATTCACTTGGCGAATTTGCCAAACTTACCGTATTCGCGAGGTATCGGCGTACGCAGCGGCATGCGCGCCCCTTGGAGGCGCATGGGCGTCAAGGACATCATGCTGGGATGTGTCGGCGACAGATTTCTGTATGGAGACAAGGTTTCAAATCTTTACAAGGCAATCCCACACGGACATATGGCATTCGTATATAAATTGAGTGCGGTTTTTTGGTTATGGTTTTTCGTGTGCGGGGGGACAACAAAAAACGTTTTTTGTGTTTTTGGATGTAAAGTTCATTCGCGTAGCGGGCAATGGCAATCGTTTAAGAAAGAAAGAAAGAAAACAATAATAAAATATAAATATAATTAATTGACTGATTTGATAGGGGTGGTGGCGACTGGAAAAGCAAACAGACATTTTCAATTTGAATTTAGCCGAAATCTAAGTTGCCCAATGGATTGCATAAACTAAATGCACTTTTCAATTTTAATTGATTTTGGAATTTTGCGCCAATTGTTTGTTTTGTAGGTCTTGCGTGCTGGACAAGGTCGAGTATTCGGGTGCGGAATTAAATGTAAAGTTGGATCTGGAAGTACTTACCCCACGATCCCGGGACGCGCTTGCATCATTTGCATCATACGGCGCTCACGAGCCCGCAGAATTTCCTCCTTTTTCTTTTTGTCTGAAGGAGGTTTGGCTAGAGAGACCTGCAAGGAAAACAAAATATATATAAATATGTGTTTTAAGTTTATTTTAGAGTGCAAAAAACCCACCTCAATATTTGAGGCGCCGATCTCCTTGCCATTAAGGCCACGCATAGCTTCGACGGCGCTATCACGATCCTCAAAGTGTATAAAGGCATAGTCTTTAATTTTCTTAACGCGTTCCACCTTTCCATATTGCTCAAATTGCTCCTGTTAATAGAACATGATATTAGATTATTATTATTTACATTTTTTATAGCAATTACCTTTAGTTTATCCTCTGAGACGTCCTGGGTTAGATTTCGCACATAAAGAACTTTAACCTTGGACATAGTCTGCTCATCCGGTTCCTCCTGTGGATCGGCCCAGTCGACTATTATATCACATCCCCAAACCTGAAAATACACCATTTATTAAAATCCAATTTCAAATACCACCGAAGATCTGTAGACTCACCTTGATTCTTCCAGTGCCAAGTCTTCGTTTGGCCAAAGATGCCGCCTTGTGTGACTCGTATTCGAGAAAGCAGAAGCCGCGGTTCTTTTTCTTATCATCTGGCGAACTGTATATGATTACCTCGTAAAGGCCAGCTATAGGTTCAGATTCGGGATCAGGTTTATTTTTAAATAAAGAAAATTGTCATTTGAGTACGGTAAATATAAATCGTGTTATCAATTCAAATGCAATATGATTAGTTGGTTGCATATGTAAAAATTGAAACGAAAGTAATACAACAAAAAAGTATTTGTATCTGTATTGGTATTGGCTTGGCAGGTGTTTGTTTGTGTGCGATAATGTTTGAGAGTACAGGTGATAAGACACTGGGACGCACTCTGGGCGATTATTTTTATAAATAAATTGTATATTTGAACAGAAATGCACAAAATTTTACACTATCGCCTGCGCTTTTTTATTTTCTTTTTTTTTTTTGATTGGGTTATGTAAAATAATGAGCATTTCCGTTGTCTGAATCTCTATTTAATATGTAGAGCGAATTAGATGATTCTGAAAACCAATGCCAACAATTGCTGCTTGCTTTAACTTTTTGAAATATTTTTGAATAATTGAATGCGCTAAGCTAATAACATTTTCGGTTTTGTGTATGCAAGGTTCGAGATTTAGAGAAAGTATTACAGAGAGAGAGCGGGGGTATAACATTAAGTTGGATATGTAGTACGTATATAGAGAGTATTGTAAAATGAAACACACATTTAGAAAGACACTTAAAAAACCTCTGTTGCTATTTTTGTTGTTGTTTGTTTGTTTATATATAGTACATGTTGCAATTAAAATAGGAAAATTAAAAAAAAGTTATAACCAAAAACACAACACGAAGTATAGAGCACACATTGAGCTTGGATTTATTATTCGTTTGGAGTAATGGAAACGATAACGGGAAAACTATACACAAACATAGCCAGAGTTAGACAGATTAAGAGATAGAGAGAACGGTGTGTACACTGAGATACAAAGAGAGATCGGTAGATATAGAGAGAACAATAACGTAACAACGAAATATGGATATAGGATTTTGAATTTGGCTTAGTTTCTCGTCGATTCGTTTGCATCAATTGCTCGGGGAAGTAGCGCTTATGTGAGAGATAGATACAGAGAGAGTTAGAGTAAAATGAGTTCATTTTTAAGGCTTGTAGTCTCCAGTCATTAAGTAAATGAATTTTATATATTCAACATGAATAGGCCAAAACATATCGATTTGAGTAGACGAATTACTGTTTCATATTTTGCTTTTCGGTTTTTGGTTTTTGGGGCGGGATCGCTTTTCGGTTTGGTTTGGTTTTGGATTGTGTGCGCCGTTTATTATCTATGTGTATATGATATAGGTCTGCACTAAAACAAAAACTATGTAGGGGCATCCCTTTATTATTTTTGTTTTTCAAAAATATTCAAAATGTTTTGATTAGCGAATTGTTTAGCTACAGGTTTTCAATGTCAACAAATTGGGCACATTTAATAATTGGAATGTTAAACGAGGAAAAAAAATAAAGAACAATTATTTTTTTGTTGTATTTACTAACAGCGCTTAACGCTACAGAGAATGAGTGAGAGAATAATGGCAAAGAGGTTAAAATGCAATCGACCCAAGGACAGGGCTTTAAATTCGACTAAAAGCCATGTCCTTTAAATCTGGTCGCTTGGTAAAATGTTTCAATTTTGTGGGGGAGTTTCAAAGTATTTGATAATTTGATTTTTTTTTTCGATTTTGGGGGTTTAGCATTTTAAAAGCGAAAATTGCAAAACAAAAATCCAATTGATACATCATTTCGTGGGCTTCCATGCGCTTTTCAATTCTGCAAGTATCGCCCCTAAAAACATTTACAAGGGATTATTTAATACAATTGGGGTTGGCCAATTCTGGTAGCCAATTGGGGTTTGTGCTGGGCTGGTTTTTTGGGGTCTCGGGTTTTTTTCTTTTTTTTGGGGGTCTTTTGCTTTGTTTGTGGTTGCTGTTGGTTTTTGGATCACTTACGTGCATGTTTTGAAAATTCCTCAATTAATTCGTCGCGATCTCTATTCTTAGGTATATTGCCGACAAATAGCCGGTGATTGTTAAATGATATCGTAACACCAATCTTTTTGCCTTTCCGAATTTCAAAATCATTTAGCTGCAATTGTTTAAAAGTTCACACAAAACAAAAGAAAATTTTGATTTGCTATGAAAAATTTGTAGTTCATTGGTACTGCGATTTGATTTGGATTGATTTGGTATCGGGTTTGTGGTGGTTTTCAAAAGTGGGTTAATGAGTGTTCGTGTTTGATAGTAATTCTCATGGGTGGGAGAAATTGTGGAGTTCTATTATCTAAACTTTAGTTACGTTTTCTTTTTATATTTTGTATTGCGTGCCAAATAAAAAAGGAATTTACTCAAAAATAAGGTTGTTCTTTAGCTAAATTCCATTTGATTTGAGGTGGATTATTCGTTTTCACTACCAGTACTAGTACTTACTATGCGGAATATTAACTTTGAAATTAAAAAAAAGGGAGACTCTTCGGGCTCTAGGCAGCTAGAAAGTCAAATGCGACTCGATCTTACCTTTTGAATTTCATATGAAATGACTTTCTAGCTGGCACACGGCGTATACTTAATATTTATAATTTTTAGAGCCTGCTTTCCTACGGTGTGATTAATATTATAGAACATAATGGAAAACGAAAGTTTTGGAATGCATAACAATTTGGTAAAAAATTTAAAAATTTGAATATTTTTTGGTTGGATCTTTTTTGTAGGCAAAGTTAATGACTGGAGATATTATGTAAATAAGTTAAAAAGAAATATTCTTATACGACAATTCAAGCTTGTAACGAATGGCAATTAGACAAATGGGCGTGTCGCTGTATCTATGTATGTGGGGTATGTAGTAGTGTCGGTGTGATTGTGTGTGTGTGTGCTATATATGAGGCAACGTATATATATATATATGATAGAACTGAGAAATGCATCCGACGATGTTTGTGATTCGGTTTCTATCATGGGGCGAGAGCGCATTTGAAAAGAGTGTCTCGATTTTTGGTTTCGGGGGAGAACACTTTTCAATTTTTTTTGAAGTGTAGAGATGGCAATGGCGGATGTTTGGATGGTTTGAGGTGGAGGGTGAATAGTAAAAGGATGAGTTGAAACAAAAACATATAAATTAAACTGAATTGATAAACCCTAAGACCCTCATTCTAACCTCTAGTTATATCGTCTTGCCTGTGCAATTAGCCAATTTCTGTTGGTTTAGCCAATTGGATTTTTGTTTACAATTTAATGCCGATTGTGAGGTTGCGAGATAACGCAACTTCAGTGATGGTAATTTAAAATATATTTTTTTTTGTTAATTTCGTGTTTGTCAATTTACCTGTAAGTTTACCAAATTCCTCTAAAATTTCATCTTTGCCCTTTGACTTGGGAATATTGCCTACGAAAAGGCGCAGATTCGGTACGCTTATATTTATTTTCAGACACTTGCCGGGTTTTATTTCGTGATTATCGAGCTAAATTGTGGAAGGGAAGGTAAAACGATTCTTTTTAATACCAATTCAATGTTAATAATAAATAATAAGTAAAATAAATAAATAATAAATAATTTTGAACTAAGGCAAATAAGGTCGGTAAGAATGGGTAGGGTTAAAATAATAAGATTAGGATTGTTAAACATTTCGTTTGTTTACCAATTTCGAAGCGGGCTGCGTGGTTTGAATTTCGGTTGAGTTTCAGTTTGGAAATGTTAAAGGAAAAACGTTTTGTTAGTTGGTTAACTGGTTAGGGCAGAAGATATCTGGTGGCCAATATCATGGTCTGAATTTTGGTCATGCTCGTCTAAATAAAACCAGACAGTGAGATTGAACGTACGCTGCTTAGTTGACTACAAAAGTTGATAGCTACATAGCTGGACTTAGGACTAGAGAAAATTCAACTAAAAAGGAAATAATACGTATAGAGAAAAGAAGAGGGGTTGGGTTTTTGGGGGAAGTGTGTGTGTTTTTTTTTCTAAGGGAGGAGGCCAAATCTTTAATTCGTTGAGAAAGAGAACTCTTTTCAAACTTGCAATTTGAACGGATTTGAGGCGCTGCAGAGATTCATTTGCATAAATTAAGATTACAACTCATAGAAGACGGGACATGCATTACATAAGTTACAGAAAGATCAAGTAGAGAGAGACAGCGAGAGAGTGAGACAGATAGCGTTGCCTACAGTTCAAATTTTATGGTTTATAGCGAAGGCAGAGGTAAAGTACGCATACGGTAAAAACTAAATAAAATTGCAGAATTTCAGATGGTCGAATCTAAAAGCGCCAAATCGGTTAGATCATATTGGTAATTTTTAGGTCTTGCTGTGGAGAATTTTTTTTTATAATATTTTTGATATTCGTTTTTGGCCGCATAACTGTTCCTACTTCTTCCGATGTGTAAGACACGATAGTAGAATATGTGGACACAATACGTTAAATATGTATATATAGGATATGTATATATCGTAGGAGTTAGCAATACGTAAAAAACATTGAAGCGGGGGGGACAGCTGATTGGGTTTTCTTTTTTTGGGGGGTCAAGGTTCTTTGAGGGTTCTTGAGGGGCGGAGGTGGATGGATATGGATGGTCTGTGGTTGGCTTAAATACCTGTCGCACTGCATTGACGGCCGCTTCGCGATTTGTGAATGTGACAAATGCATAACCACGATTTGTGCCCGTCATCGGGTCCATCATGAGGCGTAGGTCCCAGATTGTGCCGCAGTCCTCGAAGAGCGGAATCAGTTCGTCCTCGTACATGTCCTTGGGTATCTTGCCGCAGAAGACCTCGCAGCCATTGCCCGGCACATTTCCCTCCCAATCCGGTGGCGGACCGCCGTATTTGCGCTGACCTAAAGATGGTAAATTTCCCATATAACGATGTATTTAAGATATAGGTTGCATTTTATCTCACCTGTCGTCACATCTAATGTGTAGCCGGTGCGCTCGAGGATTTTCTTGATCTTGTCCTCGTCGGGACCTTTGACCTGAATGGCAGCTGCGGGCGCGGTCACGCCCTGTTGGCTGGCCCTGCTCTTCTGGCGGTACGTCTTCATCACGCCGCACAGGTAGGCGGACTTGTTTGACACATGCTCCAGGTTCGATTCGAGGAACTGACCCAGCACATTCAAGGCACCATCGACGGGAAACTCCTTGAGCGCATCCAAGGCGCGCTCGTCCAGCTCGGCATGAGCCAACTTGCCGGTCTTGTAGATTTCATCCAGTTTGCTGGCGACCTAGGTTAAATTCGGAAAGTAGAATATATCGTGGTTAAGTTTCCATAGGTTTCTATACTTACTTTCTTGTCCAGACCGTATTCCAGCAGCTTGGGATAGTCCTCTGTACGTTCGCCATCGCCACGGTCATCGGCTTTCTGATTAATATCATCTAACAGTTCGCCATTACCCTCCGCCATTTCTGAAAGGAAAAGTAAATTAAATTTATTAAATAAATATTTTAAATTTCATAATAAAAACTAAAGATTCTACAAAACCACAATATTATTCTTACGCATCAAAACCAAAAATGTATTTGTATATACTTGAGATAAGAAAATTCACATTTTTCTATTATGACTTCACAATAAAATCTTTTAATATTCTGGGAATTCCAATTGCTAAATGTGGACCCACAATTTTGTACCTTGTGGAGTTCAACGAACGCTAAAAAATAGCAACAAATTGCGAGTGCTTCATAAAATGGGTCGCGAGAATGTGCGAAATAGAAGAATTTCGCCAACTTACGCACCGCCGCACGCACTCGCGGAATGAAATAGATGGAGGAATATACAAAGGCAGACAACAAAGCGAAAAAGTTCATTGACTTCAAACAAACTGCGAAACGCACAAATTTGCGATCCAGAAAGAGGCACCAAAAAGTGCGTGAGAAAGCCGAAAAAGAGAAGGGAGAAGAGAGCGGCATTTAAAAACGTGTTGGCCAAAAATGTAAACAATCGAAAAGAGGCGCGTTTTGCGAATTGTGCGTGACGTGTTGCGTATACGCGATGTGGTTCGCCAAACGAGCAGAAGCGATAAGCGTGACGCTTTAGTTGCCATGGCGACCGGCTGATAAATCTATAACTAATACATTGTTGCCTTACGGTTATATTTTTTATTGCCTGTCTAAAGTGCCACTGGACTTTACGTAATTTAAATGTTTAATTTAACAACTGGTTGCTACACCCAGAGAAATGTGGGACTATTTTTTAGGTAACGTATGACCTAAAAAATTTAAATAGACTAAAATTTCAGATTTAGGTAATGGGTTACCTAAAAATATTAGCATGTGGACTATGTTCCTACTTTTTAGGTAAAGCTAAAGAGATTTTTATAGGCCATCGTAACCTTCAAATTGGTCCATAAGACCTAAAATTTAGGAATAATTTAAAGTCGATTATCACTCACAACTTAATACAAATATTGGTCCCTAATATTAATAAACAAATTATTCGGTTTTTTAAGTTTAATGTTAAAAAATTTTTTAGACTTTTCTTAAAGCTAGTGATGGAAAAGTTTCAATATATAAAATCAATACCTACGTGGACTATTTTCCTACTTTTAAGGTAATAGTGCCCTATTCTAAAAATAGAATTCGCCTGAGCCCCTTGAAGCAGGCTTTGGTTTTGCCGCAGGGCCTTTAAGTAGTTCCGTAGACCAGAGGCTAGCCTATTGGACTCTCGCGCAGAAGACCCGGGATCGATTCCCACCGAGGACAAAATAAAGTGATTGTTTTTTCAGAAAGATAAAATATTTGCTTTTCCGAATAATACAATATAAGCAATTAAAATAATCAAATATGTTACTATCAATAGTAAAAATCCTAGCTTTTTTTTAAATACCTAATATTTAGGTAATTCTGACCTAAAAATCTAGTCCACTAGCCATTTTTTTAGGTAACCATTACCAGAAATAAATTCAAGACTGCGTACAAAATATAGTCCACATGGACAACATTTTAGGTAATGCATGGCCTTGGCGCGTTTTTCTGGCCATATTTCCTAAAATTTTAGGTAATTAGGCCCCTTTTTAGTCCATTTTGTTTTCTGGGTGTAGTTGTAAACTGCCTATAAATTGCGATTTCTAACGACTGCTGTCTGCAAACACAATAAGAGTGAGTGATAACATTTGTAAGCCAGCAGCAGCCTAATATATTTATTTATTTTGATTTCCGCATCCAAATTCATTTCACTGAAAGACTGCGGCGGAAACAAGAGCTGTTCGCTTTGGTTGCAAGTGCAGCTGCATTCAGCAATTTATCATAAATGAATATTTATGGCGCACTCATAATGAAAATGCAAATTTTCCCCAGTTGTCAAGTGGCCAACGCTCACCTATACATGTCGTAGCATAGGAATCTACCTTAGCTGTTGTCACACTATCAGCGAAATGCTATTTTGATTCGCCTATATATATGTATATATATGTATGTGTTTGACGTTCAAACAAAAAACAAAGCCAGCGCTGCAGGCAAAAAAAAAAACATTGGAAAAATAAAAAATGAGGGGCCCCAACTAGCAGAGAGCGATAATTGCGTAACATGTGCGAAATATCAGCAAGCTCTATCGCCAAAAGAACGGGAGAGGCATAAAAAGCAGCGCTCTATCGCTGGTAGCCTCAAAATTATGGGCAAACCCGAACATTTCTAGCTTTACGCTTTTTGTTTGTTGCTCTCTCTCTCTGCGATTTTTTTCCTCAAATTTCGTATCGTTTCGTTTTCGCTGACATTGAAATACTTTTCGATTGATATCCGGGCCATGGGGGCTTTCTAAATGCGAAATTCGCGATTAATACTCACTGCTGAAACCGGGCATCGGGCTAAGAATCTGAATTGCAGAGCGGGCCTTGAGGATGACGGGGGTCTGGGCCTCACCGCCCCCCTCATCCTTCTGAATGCCGGCCGCCGCTTCCATCTCGGAAATCACGGCAAAATGCAAGAATTTAGCAAGAATTTTTAAATTTCCTTAGACGACTTGGAATTTCGCTTGCAACTGTGTGCGTATTTGAACAATTTCAGAATTTTATTTTCTTTGCGTTTTCCTATTTCTTTTTTTTTTTCGAATGAAATTCAACAGTCAGAGAGTTAGTTTTTCCGAAACGATTCGAGAGACGGCTAAAAATTTTCACAACTGAATAGAAATAATTTTATCCGGCCGACACAACAATGCCAAATCATTATCGAATGACTTTTGACAATTGCCCAGTAGGGCCAACTGGGATTCGATTTTGGGTAGGGTTACTCAAACCACATTTTAGAGGTGGCAATCCCAGTGCCACTAAATATTTAGACCAGAACCCGACTAGATATTTATGACAACTGCAGTGGGGCCATCAGAATGCGATGTACGCTATAACAATAAACGGAACCAGTCAGCCAGTAACAACAATAACAGACCCATGGGTCCCTCCCATATGGTGCATATATGTGTGTGTTTTTATATATCTAGGCTGGTTGGGCGCGAAAACGCAGCGAGCTGTAAGTGGAAAGTGTTGGCGACAACCGCAGGGAAGTCCACAAAGGGGCAAACACCGGGGGAGCGCCAGGGAAATATGCAGGAAAAGCGCTTTATCGGGGCACTGCAAGGAAATGAATAATAAACATGGCCAATGGATATTGAGCCGGTTGAAAGGAGTAGAGGAAGACAGCAACGCAGGAAATTCCATTAGGATTGCCAGCGAAATCGAAATATCGATAAAGGGGGATTTCTCATACGCAGTGTTGCCATGGTCCTGCAATTTCCCGAGTCAATTTAAGGACTCTCGGTCCATTCATTCTAAGGGCCAGCAAACGGAGCTATTCAGGTGACTCGTGCTGGCCTAAAAGCGCTTTCAATTTGCAACACTTGCTCCTTTTTCGTACGACCCGTCGTCTGTGTCATCATTTTTTATGCATGTTTGTTATGGCAACACAGGGTGGCAACTCTGGCCAATGCATATGAAAGAAATAGTAATCAAAAAAAGGAGAAAAAAATGGGAAAAACAAAGAAAGGTTTGCATGTTAAAGAACATTCCTTTTTGCATGTTCGTTTTGTTTGCCAGAGCCGCTTGGCAACTACCTCAATAAATTTGATGTTGATGCCGGCGATATGCGCAAACATACACATGCATGCAGGCATATCCTGTGCACTTGTGTCGGTTAGTTACACCCTTACACCCTCGGCATAAAAAAAAGTCACCCTCATGCCAAGGGTGGTTTGCCAACGGATTCCACCACTCCAATTCTCCACCATTCCGGATTCGGGCTCCTTTGCCAAAAGATAATGCCTGGTGTAAGGTTAGTAAATCAGCGATATGACAAATCGCGGCAACGCAGGCGGAACACTTAATGCGACGACTCTTTTCTGTGAGAGACAATGGAGAATCAAAATTGCTGATAAAGCCAAATAAATCGTTTTGCCACATTCGTTCGTCACTCGCGTCTGTCTGCCAGACAAAGCGTCGCCACCGGCAGCAGTCTGGTCTAGAATTACACTAGAACCCCCTGGAAAACTCCGCCCCTGTGTCTGTCAACTCTGAAGCCAGACTGTAGAAACTACAATGGGGGTACATAGTAGTGGTTCGAGGGGGTTCCAAGTCTGGGGTTGTTTGCCACGCTATAAGAAGTGTTAAAGTTTCAGGCTTTCGCAATTTGAATTTCAAGAAGCATTGGCCATTTAAATGTTATTGCCATGGACAACGGCGACAACAATGGCCAGGCCACCTTCCTTTGGGTTTATTGATTTTCAGCCCCCTTTCTTTCTGCCCAGATGAGCCAACCAACAACTACTCCGCCGCCGGCCAGTTAAGCCGATTTAAGGCACAAAAATAACTCCAGCCTGGCCAGAGTGAGAGAACTGCAGACACTGCAGAACGGAGCAGACCTGAAGGCCTCCGAACGGAAGTGTGGCAAATGCCTTCTTGTAATTTATAGCCCCCAGAAGGGGTTGAGGTGCGGGGGGCATTAGAAGGCGGCCAGTTGGCCGCATAAGTTGCACAATTTATGGCATTGCGACAACGAACAAATTCCCTGCAAAGTGCAGGCAAACCAAGCAAATTAGATGGAAGCGCCTGAAAGGCGGCAGACAACGGTGGAGATTGCAGGGGGAAGAGTAGAGAAAGGAGAAGGGCCTTCGGTCCTTAAGAGAATATTAAATGAATAAAATTTATTGTAATTTATGGAGGACTACAGAAGAAGTTTAATGAAATATTAGAAATGCTTCAAGTTAAAGTGCAATCCGGCGGGAGACTTTATTGCTGCCTGCTTTTAGGCGTTGAATCGAGTTTATTTAAGACTATAAAGAATTTAAAATGAAATTAAAATGCGTAAATTTTTTTAAAAGTTTTACCATATTTAAAGGTTGTTCCCCTTTCTTTATTTACTCCCCCTAAGATAAGCTATCTTTTCTTCTATCTATGCCTTATCAACTTTTAAACAAACTGCATCTCTAGTCAAGTCTTAAATACAGTCACGTCGCAAGGCCCCCCAATATATCCCGCATATTTCGGAAGCCGATGCCAAAATCAAAGATAACATGGCAATAAGTTGCAAGTCGGGTTTATTTAAGTAAACAGCAACGGGTTCGTGGCGGTTCAGTGGGGTTTTGTTGCCAAGAAACCAATCAGGCGGGTCTTGCCTCCGCAGTATCTGCCAAAAAAGCTCCTTTTTTTTTGGTCACAGCTCGGGGGTCCAGATCCACGGTCATAAAAACTGTGCACAGCCCGGCCGGGGAAATGTTTTCAATATTTGATGCTCACATTTTGTGGCCGCAAAAGTGCAGGGACGCTGCTCGACCGCATCAACAAATGAAAATGGCGCCCAGCGCTCAACCCCATGACTCCCACCGAAAATAAACCCCAGCCGAGGAGGTCAGTCACGTGTTGGCCAGGCCAAAACCAAGGGGCCCTGCCGAATTCACTGCATTGCGGCAGCGACAACAACAGACGGACGGTCCGTGCATTCCGGCCAGTACGGGGATGTATTATGTGTATGTACAAACAGTCGGTCGCTAAAGGCTGAGGCATTGTGTCTATCCGTGTATTTGCGCTGTGCAACTGCCAAAAATAAGGAGTGAAAAAGCAAACGTGCGACGTGCCTGCAACAGTACATAATGCCGCTGGCTCATGGGAAGAAATTCAGTCGGCAGGCGGAGAAAATAGGGGGCACGCGACAAGCTCGAAATGAAAATTACACAAAAGTTTGCTCGAGAGAAGAAAATGGCGTGCTTTTTTATGGCTGCCAAAGATGCCCCCAGGAGTCGATGTCGGAGCTAGAGTCGTAGAAAGTGGAAAGCCAACTTTTCCAGTGGCCGAAAAGCACACGAAAATAAAACAAGTTTTGGGGATCGCAACAGGGAATACCCTGGCAGATCAAAACGATACGTCTTTACCATTTTCGAAAATATTTTTCCCTATAACACATTTCATTAGGATTTAATATCACATCTGCAAAATCCAAAAGTTTTATAAACCTTTCCCCTTTAAATATATAAGTTTTCATGCTTTTCCACTGAATTTATAGCATCCTCTAATAGAGTAAAAACGTGGCCCAAAGGACAGGGGCAAGCACATGCCACACGAGCCGTCGGAAACCAAAATGCGCTTTTGTGTGCGCTACGCGACCCCCATATTTCCCCATCCCCATACCAAACCCAAACAAACCCAGAAACCATCCCACAAAAACCACCCAACCGAAGCGGGGCAACAATCCAATCCGACACAAAACCCCAGCCCAATCCGAGTAGGACAAGAGCTAAGCTGAGATAGCTGGGCAGGTTGCTTTCCACTTTCCACTGGGGTCCCGGTCCCCCATAGTTTGGCGAATTAGAAAAGTGCCGGCTGCAGGCGCCGCTCAATTGCATTGGATTCCACAGGAAAAGAGATGGGGAGGGGTGGGGAGGGGAGGGGGTGGACACACGATAGAATGGGGAGCGGTAAACGAGCGCTCGTTGTGCGCGTATCTTGCATTTTTATTTTAGCATATTTTATTATTTGCGAAATTAGGCTGCTTCAAGTACCGCCCGCTGTGGTGCCTTTCTATATATTGTATGGTCTGCTATGGTACGGTTTCCTATGGCATGGTTTCGCCTGGTATCGTGTGATGGGAAGGAGTGGGTGGCCCTATCCTGGCGGATAGCTCTGGATGGCACGGCTCCCGCTGATTGCAACGTATCTACAGCGACATCGGCATTCAAAGTGGCCTGAATAAATTGTGTGCTGTGGGGGGAAATTATTTTTCAAGAAAGGATACAATTGTAACCGATTTTACGTGTTCGTAATATCTCCTATAAGAAAATAATTAGAACTTTAAAAATATCTTTCAATTGTTTTGTAATAATATTAGTTACAATAAATCTAAAGAATAAATTATACCTAATATTATCAAAAAAAAAAAAAAAAAAAAAAATTGGAAAGATATTAAACTAAAATAAATCAAGAACCATTTCTTGTGAGGCGTGTTAATAAAGAATGTGCCTACTTCTGCTTATAAAATTTAATATATATTTATTTTTATTTAACCCTGCTTATAAAATTTAATATATATTTATTTTTATTTAACCCTCTGGAAATCTTAAACCCCCTTAATAAAATTCTAACTACGCCATTGACATATTATATTCCCTATTGCCACTTTGGATACGTTTAAGTATTTAGTTTGACTTGTTGTAATTCGGAAAGTAATCAGAATTATTGATCACAAAGAGCCCTGTGTAAGAGTTTGTAAACTCCAACTGCACATTTAAGTTAAAATGACAGCTTGTAATCACCGCAGAGAGGCTTATTAATACATATTTTCAATTTGAATAATTAATAAGAACAAGGAGAGTAATGTTTGTTTCCCCCAGCGAAAGTGGAAGAAAAATGACAAAAAAGAAAGAAGAAATTACTTAACACGGCTCCCAAGAATGCAAAAGCCAAAACGTGTTTGCCGGCAACCCCTCTGGACAGACCCCCCATTGCCCCCCAGAAAAGCCACCCCCTCTGGCCGCCGGCCATGTTCTTGCCGAGAGCCAAGAGTCATGCATCATGCAACACCCAAACGAAATGAGAGCCGCTTTTGGGGGCAGCATGAAAGTACAAAGGCGAGCGAGGAGAAAACATGGCGAAGCGCCAAATTATGCGCTCATGGGTGGGGTAAATGGGGGGTTTTCGGAAGGCGTGTTGCAAGGGGCGTTAGTGCAAGGGGGGTGCTTTCGAAGGGGGTTTGTTGAGGACGCGACAGACAACAGAAGAAGAAACTGCAAATAATTGCGCTCTTCGTCTGTCTTCGATTCTCTCCACTTTTCCTTCTTCCTATCGCTCTCTCTCTCTTTTGGGGAGAGCGCATTGCACTCGAAAGCTTTTTGGCCACTGCAGGCGAGCTTTGGAGCTCTCCCAACAGACCGCCCAGCCACCCCCCACATTTTCCCCCCTTTTATGCACGCCGGCCGGTTTTCGAAAACTGCAATTGTGTGGGTTTAGTTGAACTGTCGGTGTGTGGGCGTGCTTGTATGTGTGTGTGTGTGGACGCCATTTGGATTGACACGTGGCCGAAGTTTTGGAGCCCAGGAGCAAAAGCAGGCTGCGCTAAAAACAGAAATCAGAATGCAGTGGACCAAGGCAAGGCAACAAACAAAAAAAGAATTCACCACAAAAAGCGTACAAATCTCGGTTTTAAGAGGCAGAACAAACCGGTTTGCCATAAACACACACACACTCGCATACAGGCGACGGTTCAACTTTGTCTGGACTTTTCTTTATTTTAAGTTCACTTTTTAATGATTTAAGCGGCGTCGGCGGCGACGAGATTTTGGAGCATAAGGAAGGGCAAAAAAGGGAAAGGGAAGAGAAGAAGGGAGGCAGCGAACGATGCAAAAGGCAAAAATCAAAATGGTGGCCCAAGAAGAATTGGGGGACGGCTGCAAGGAAGGGGGAGGGGGTGGGGGGATACCAAAGAGGTAGACGACGGCGTTTTAATGCGATTGTGACGATGTTAAATGCATTGCCGCACTCACACACACAAATATGCGAACGGAAAGGCAAGCGACGCAAAAAAAAAGGAAAAAACCATGCTGCATGCCTCTCTTCCCTGAGAGTGTGTGCGTCTGTGTTGGGGGCGCTTCCATTGTGGGGCCTCCGTTTACTTGTATGTGTGTGTGTGTTTTCGCTGCAGTGTTGAGCAACGCCAAGAAACGTGGGCGTTGTTGTTGTCGTTGTCGTCTGTTTTTATTTAATATCTGAGAAAAACACCTGAACACGCACATACATTTCATTTGAATTCATTTCATTTCGATTCGTTTCATTTCATTTCACTTCACGCCATGCGTCAGCTGTTTGGCGTTCGTTTTAATTTTATACCCCATACGCAGTGTATACATATAGACGTTTCTAATTTTTGCACATTATTGCAGAAACACCAACACACACATTGATAGAGAGACATGCATATACATATAGGCAGCACTTGGGGCTGCACTGCAAGAAAAGAGAGTGGAGAGGAGAGGAGCAGAGCAAGACCAAGGCGAAATGAAATGAAAAAAATAAAATAAAATGCCGTCGCTTTTTGTTCCTACATAGGAACGTACTAACACACACACTCGGAAGCTTACACACACATGCACTTGATACGATATTGTTGTCTGCTCGCTCACTTTTTATATTTTTATACCTATATAGGATGATGTCCATGTGAGCGTGTCTATAGCCACTAATTGCAAATTGCAGTTGGCAAAAGTATCGCCAAGATACTGAAATTACCTTTTTTTGTTTTTTTTTCTTTTTTTTTGTTGTATTTGGCTTGCACTAAGAAATTCACAATATTACTGCTTCGTTGCGTTCAATTTGAACTATTGATATTTATGTATTTTGTATTCCTCACGGCGTTGCACAATTTGTTGCTAGATTCCTGGCATTTTCTACATAGAATATTTGTATTTTATTTAAGATCGTATCGTATATGAGATCACAATTGGCCGCCCGCCGTTCCGTTGTTACGTTTCCGTTTCGATTCGCATGCCGCGCGCGCTCTCTGCCAGCATATTTCTTTTTAATAAATATAACTATGGGAATTTATGGTCTGGTGTTATTTTTCTTAGATTTTTTTTTGGATTTGGCAAGCACACTTTTCCGAACAACTGCAGTTGGCGATGGTTATTTTTGGGTATGTCCAATTTTGCGTGTGGCAGCCGCGTTGTAATATAATGGCGGACGGCAACGTCTACGTCACCGGTTCTCGGTTCGCCAACGTCTGAGAATCGCAACTGAGAATCGCAATTGAGAATCGGAATCGGGAAACAGCAGCGGTATTAGCAGTAGCAGAAGCTGAGGCTGTAGCCGCTCCGCTCGCAATTCTGGTCTTCACGTCGTCACTTGCGTCGCACAACAAAAGCCACAAACCAAACAACTACAACTCGCAGGGAGTCGAGTCGCAGTCGCAGTCGCAACCACGAAAAAGCTGCAGCGACAAAAGTGCACGCACACCACCGCGAAAGGAGAGCCCACGGAGCGTCACTCTCACACAGATACGTTTGTATCTCAGACTCAGGCAGGCAAAAAGTTTCGCAATAAGAAAAAAAAAGCGAACACACAAGCAAGAGAGAGCGGAGCGGCAGAGTCCGAACGAACCGAAAGAGAGAGATAAGCAGTGCGAACAGAATTTGCACAGCAAAGCGAATGGCGAAAAAACATGCTCTCTCCTAAACACACACAAACAAACATTCTACTCTCTCCCGTTCTCTTTTTTGCCATGGGCTTCGAAAGATCGCGGAAAAAAACACGAGAATCGAGAATCTTGTCGCGTGTGGAAGCCAAGTTTTCATCTTCATCTTCAAACCCGAGAAACTAAAAACAGTAAACCAAATAACCAGACAAACAAAAGTGAAAATGCCTCATAAATAGGCTAAAAGAATTTCAGCAAGTTCCCTTCTACACAGGGAGAAAAAGAATGATGACGTGTAAACAAAAATTTGATGATTATAGCTCTTAATTGTTATAAGAACAATTTCCTTAATGAAGTTAAAATAAGAAATGTAATAAAAGTTTTAAATTGACTAGATCGGATTTGAACTCGGAAGGAAAATAAAATTGATAGGGTTTTACTAGAATTAAAATTAATATTGATTGATAAATTATGTACAAAGATATAGAATCTACAGATCCCAAACCTTCTTTTTCTCTGTGCAACGTATCTTTCACGTACACTGTCGACGTTCCACAATGCGTTCCACACACACACACATAACCAAACGAACTCACGAGCATGAGAAGCTTCCATGCAAAAAAGAACTCTGCTGAACATTCCTTCAAAGGGGTTAAATGAGCGAAAACAACAAAAAGAACGAATGCCCAAGGGCTGAGTGTAAAAAACGTAGATGCTGTCTGTAAATTTGTATACAACTTTGGCATGAGGGCAAATCGTCAGTCGAATCGTTAACTAAAATAAACGCACACAGTTGCATCGGCCTTTGCAAAATCACACACAGATACGTTTACAGATGCCGATGCACACGCACAGCTACAGATTCAGATACTTTCACATAGATGCAGCCCAGAGAGATGACTGGACAGTGGGCTTGGGTTTGGGTTAGGGTTTTCCAGGGGGTCGTGTCGTTGTCCCCCAACCCCAAAGTACGCCCACACCGGCTTTCCGGCATTTTGGTCATGAACTTGTGGGTTTCGTTCGTCTGCCGGTCTCCAATAGCAACCACTGCACCACCCACTTTCCGATTTCGATTCAGATTCCGATTCCGACCCCCCGGCATCAAGGTAAGTGGCTCGTCAGCACGTGAACATCACATACCAATTCGGTACCAAACGAGTCTCTCTAGCGGTGTACAAATAAACAAAAAAGAAAGGGGAATTCTTTCGCTACTCAACATTCGCCTTTGAAATATCGAAATATGCTGAAATTATTTATTTTGCGGTACAACTTAGAGGTTCTCTCAAGTTACCCAAAGTTTGGGGCTTCGAGATGAAAACGGAGACCCTGGGAAGATGGCTTCAAAAACATAAGTGGGTGCCGCTGGCTAACAGTAAAACAGCTGGGTAACCTTAGAAGCTGAAGTGAAAGAATTCGAGTGTGTTGGCTAAATTCCCGGAAAGTGTGAGAATGTTTGCGGCCAATAATCACACCCCCTGAAATATGATGAAGAAAGAGCTATACAAATTCTCGGGATGAATATATAACACGGAATATCATATAAATTAAACTAGTTAATCGGTTAAAAGAATTGGACGGAATATTAAGAACAGATAATTAGAATTAATCAAGAATTTAATATATTTTAAAAATGTGGTTAAGCAAATACAACGTTTGAAAAAGAACGGAAACAATAGTTTAATTTCCATGTTACATGAATTATATGCAGAGTTTATAAAGAGTGTATTTAAATCAAATAAACTTTCAAAAAAGTTTAAATTCCAAAATTTTTAAAAATTAAACAATCTTTGGATGAATTCTTTCAAGAATAAAAATAATAAAATAAAGCACTCGAATCCCTTGGTTCATTTTTACCAAAGATAACCCAAACACAAAGCCCTGTCATAGAAAGTCTTGGCCAGCAACCTTGAGTCACCATCTAAACGCGATATCTTTACGACGGCTAATGAAATTCTTTGTAGAATCGCCCCATAAAAAATCAGAGATCCATATCTGTTCTATTTAGCAAAAAGGTGTGCCCCGGCAGCAGTACTATGTTAAAGTACTCGCGATTTCAAATCAGATTTGGCGACTTACTCGAGCGAATTGTTGCTGCAACTTCCGAGTAGAGAGTATCTCAGGCGCTGTGTATCCAAGTGTGTGGGGTGTACTGCAGTTGCTGCTGATGATGATGTATCCAATGGGTGCTGTAGATATTTAATCCGAAAATGTGCTAAGCTATATTTATGCGAATTAATGCGAATGTGTGTTTTTTTCTTAGTTTGTTACGTTTTTGCACTATTCAAGAACTTCACTGGAGAGATATAGATTCACTTGACCGCACTTATCGACTACAATGGGTGTTTGTTGCAAAAAATATTTGCCACTTTCGCGCTTTTCCGACACGTTGCGTTGCGAGTGGAGAATCGAGAGTGTCGAGTGTAGAGTGTAGAGTGCGGAGTGGAGATATGGAGATGCGATGCTCGGCGGAGAGTACAGTAGAACACACCGATCGCCTCTCTTCAGCACTTCTTGACCAGGAATGCAGCTCTGCAGTAATTGCAATCAGCGGTGCATTCGCCAGCGAACTGATCGCCTGTTGCTGGGGGCTGTAGCTGTAGCTGCAGATCGTCGATCCGAGCAGCGCTGCACAGGAAGTGCACGAAGCCTCGGAGAACAAGTTACGAGCGCTCGGCTTTCCCGATCGTCGCTTCGATCGGCCGATGCAGTTGCACTCTCGGTTCTCTTTTTTAGATTTTTTTTTTGCCTTTGGGTTTTTTTTTGTATATTTTAGATGGGGCGTATACCCCGCGTGGAGCTTTGAAACCTCGATCGACGATCGTGTGTGTGGGGATCCAGAGCCACTTCAAAAGCTTCGGATGCACTTTCCCTGGCTCTGCGGGTTACGTAAAGCTTACAGGCAGGTAGTATCTTGGCAAATTTTGATTAAATTTCCTTTAGCTATTATAAATTTCGTTTAGATTCGGTTTCGAAAGTCTCGGGCGACTGCGTTTCGTGGTGTTTTTTGCGATCCAATATGTTACAATCCAAATCGACTGAAAGGTAAATTGCAAATGTGTTTGCAAACGCAGTCGCTGATGTCTGTTGGCAAAAGTCGATTGCTCTAACTGGTTAATTATATAATTTAAATTGTTTTCAGTTCACCTCACTTGATGATCATAATTTGTCACTAAATTTGTCACGAAATATGCACTTTCAGTTGTTTGTTTTCTTCACAAATTGTTTTTTGTTTCGTTTTGGTTTACTTTGCTTTAGGTTGTGTTTGTTTCACTTGTTAGAAATTTATAGATTTTGTATTTGATTTTAATGCATTTCCAGACATGTCGCTGCATTTTGCGTACGCTTTTAAAGTTTGCAACGCGTGGCCATAGATACCTGCCTCCCCGCTTTATTACAAGTTTTATGCCGTTCGAGTTTCGTTGTTAGATTTATATATTTAGTTGTTAAAATTAAAAGCGTAATTGGCTTGTACACTTAACCATAGTAGAGAATATTATCATAGATTTACCGTCGTTATTAAATGTAGCAAATAAAGAAAAACTTAAACAAAAACTGGCAAATGTTTTGCTTAAACGTTTTAACACTTAACAAGTTTTGCTGATGCTGAATGATAACTGTGTGATTTGATTCTATTGTTAGAATTTCCAAAGTGGCTTTTGGGTTGCTTTTACAGTGGCTGGCTCTATTGCAGTAGATATAGGTGTAATCCAAAGTGTTTTGAAGACGTCGTATGCGCGGACTCCGATCCTGAATAGAATTTTGACTAAAAATGGTTGTGATTTCCAACGTTGGCTGGGTTTTTGTTAGATTATTTCCGAAAGATGTTGAGTTTGAGTTGTTTCTGGTCAGAGTTTCCTTAACCGTTTGTGTAAAAAGTTCCAGATTTGTGGTTGCAATATTTTCGCATGGTCGTTTGCGCGTCCGCGATACTTGCGAGTGGAGTGGCGATGCGATACAGATACAGATACCCGGCTGGCTGGGTAGTCAGTCAGTCTCAGAGGCCCGAAATTTCAGAGTCTCCGTCGTTGGCGACAAAAAAAGCTTGCAGTCGTAGTTGCGTTGCACACAGATACACCAATACTTTCGCGCGAATGAGAGCGAGAGAGAGCAGTTTAGCAGTTTGCCGGCAAAGCAAAGGTGAAGCTACGCACACAGGCGCATTCTGCGCTTCCTTTTTGTTTTGTTTTTGCCATTCGCCGCGGCAGTCGCAGTCGCTTGCATTGGTATTGCATCCTCTCTCGCTCGCAAAAACACACACACACAGATACAATTTAACGTAGCCTGCTTTTTGTAGTTTTTCGCCCCAGCTAGCAACCACCCAGCTTTTTGCCGGCTTGTAGTCAAACCTTTGTCGCCCAGAGAGAGCCGCTCTCTCTCCATGGTTTTTTGTGGTTTTTTTCGCCACTTTGAATTGACCCCTCAGAGATTCTGATTCAGATTCAGATTGAGATTCCGATGCCCAAAGATGCCAACAAAGTCGCGATGCGTTTTGTCGCCAGGGGCCCTTGTATCTTGTTTCTCTCTTGCCTCTCTCTCACCCCTCCTCTCTGCCCTCTCGCTTCCACTCGCTCTATGCTTGAGGAACATTTCAATTAACTGCAATTCTTCTGCTCCCATCACTGCTGCCCGCCGGGCAATCCGTTTTTATGATCCATCCACATCCACATCTACGTCCACATCCTCGTCCACTCACTTCGCTGCCCGCCGAACGTCCAAGTTTAATTAACTCGAAGTCACGGACAATGGCCGAGCGACAAGTAAAGCGTATCTAGATGCCCCCGATAAGATCTGTCATGGCTCTATGTGCCCATCTCTCTCGGAATCCGATTCTGATTCGGATTTTCGCCACTCGCTAACTCAATTTG